AACCCTAAACCCTAAACTCTAAACCCTAGACCCTAAACCCTAAACCCTAAACCCTCAACCCTAAGCCCTCTCCTTTGGAAACCCTTCTTTGGATACCGAAAATCCAACAAAATTCCCCTACTCAGAACTAGGAAGATTCTGGCTTTGCAACTCAAGGCCCCCCCCCTTTTCTCCAAGTGGAGTGGCTCTTGATGCCGCGGCGCCAGAACTGAAATCTGTGAAGACCGTCGTCACGCGCTTGCCTTCTGTAACTCAGAGAGCAGCCGAGCTGCACTGGAGAGGCTATCCAAGCACTCTGTTAAATATCCGCTGGAAGGAGGCTCGGGCGCCGAATCACATTCTAAACCCTAGATCCCTATTCTCCCTTTAACCCTAAAACCCTAAAACCCTAAACCGTTAAGGGTGAGCATTGAAAAAAAGGCCACCGCCCCTTGCTTCAAACCCCAAGACCCCTAAACCCTGTTCTTGCGTTTAGGGTTTAGGGTTTAGGGTTTAGGGTTTAGGGTTTAGGGTTTAGGGTTTAGGGTTTAGAGTTTAGGGTTTAGGGTTTAGGGTTTAGGGTTTAGGGTTTAGGGTTTAGGGTTTAGGGTTAGGGTTTGTATAGGGTTGAGGGTTTAGGGTTAGGGTTTCGGGTTTCGGGTTTAGGGCCTTGAGCGGGACATCGCTTTTGGCTCTTTCTGTGCAGGGTTCACGGCTTTATAAGGATTGGGCACCCAAAACCCTAACCCTAAGCCCTAAGCCCTAAGCCCTAAGCCCTAAGCCCTAAGCCCTAAGCCCTAAACCCTAAACCCTAAACCCTAAACCCTAAACCCTAAACCCTTAACCCTAAACCCTAAACCCTAAACCCTAAACCCTAAACCCTTAACCCTAAACCCTAAACCCTAAAACCGAAGCCCTGCACCATCCTCCCAACAGCTAAGCAAAGCAAGTCCCTCTCCCAGAAGAGAGGAGCAAAACTGAGAGAGGCTCTCCAAGCACTCTCAGGGCACGAGCAGGGCCGCCGCCCTAAACCCTAAACCCTAAACCCTAAACCCTAAACCCTAAACCCTAAACCCTAAACCCTAAACCCTAAACCCTAAACCCTAAACCCTAAACCCTAAACCCATATTTAGAGTGCAGGATTTCTGGTTTGGGGTGCAGGGCTTAGGGGGCGTTCTTGTGCGTTTGGCTTCCTGAAATAAGGATCTATATCACCGCTTGCTGCAACCACCTCAACCCATCAGAATACTAAACCCTAAACCCTAAACCCTATACCCTGAACCCTAAACCCTAAACCCGAAACCCTAAACCCCACAGGCAGATGCAAAATGACGGCCCTGACGACAAAACTTGCTTGGAGGAGTGCTGCTCCCCTCCAATGCTGGGAAGATCACCGAACGAGGCAACTAGTTCGGGGCCGGATTGCACGTTGAGGGGGTGTGGGGATTTAAGGTTTAGGTTTTAGGGTTTAGGATAAGCCTAAACCCTAAACCCTTTCAGGGGCTAGGGGTTTAAGGGCTCAGGGGTGTTGAGGCGCTGGCGTAGTGGGTGCCGATGCCGCTCTGAGCTGTGTTGGTTTGAGTTTGCTCAGTGGCGGGTGCCTACCACAAAGGGTCCTCCCATGACGCCCTGGAAGTAGCAACATGAGTGCCAGGGTTTAGGGTTGAGGGTTTAGGGTTTAGGGCTGAACATGGGCATTGAACACAGCAAGGAGGAACTTCTGGCAAAGGGAACAAGGCAATTTTCACTGCTGCTGACATGTTGGGGCAGGCCCGCAGAACGCGTAGTTAGTTTTTTCCACTTTATATACCCCTAAACCCTAAACCCCAAACCCCAAACCCTCAACCCTAAACTGATAGGTCTAGTGCTGCATATACGCGAAGATCCTCTCTGGAATCTTGGGCCGAAGAACCCCAGACCTGCTCCGATGAGCTCTCATGCTAAGCTCTAAGCCACGAAAACGATAGCATTATGTAAAATGCTGAAATTACAAAGCATCTCATACATAATATCCTTATAGCATGTATATGTATATACATATATATATATATATATGTATAATGTAGGTACATATACGTATACATATGCATGTATATACATATATACATATATACATATATATATATATACATGTACATACATATACATATATATATATAATATTGTGTACACACACACGCGTCCCATGTTCCGAGGCCGAGGCGCTGTGGGAGCGCACATTTTTTCGATAGCTTCAGGAATATCTTGAGGGGGACTCTGGGAGTGCGAGGGTTACACAACAATGATCTTAGGGTTTAGGGTTTAGGGTTTAGGGTTTAGGGTTTAGGGTTTAGGGTTTGGGGTTTGGGGTTTAGGGTTTAGGGTTTAGCGTTTAGGATGAAATAACACAACCCCAAGAGATTCTATAGCCTTATCAGATAGTGGATGTGGGCTGAGACTACGATGACTTCAAGTCTTGAAAAATCTGTTGGTGAATATAGATTCCAAGTCTTGCTTATTTTGGCGGAGTACTTGAAGTAATATTGGGGTTCAGGGTTTAGGGTTTAGGGTTTAGGGTTCAGGGTTTAGAGTTTAGGGTTTAGGGTTCAGGGTTTAGGGTTTAGGGTTTCGGGGTTTAGGGTTTAGGGTTTAGGGTTTAGGGTTTAGGGTTTAGGGTTTAGGGTTTAGGGCCCCTATGAGCCCTAGAGGGTCTTGAGCACTGAGGCCAGCCCGCAGCGCACGCAACTCGTCCGATGGATTGCAGGAATGGCTGGCCGGGAGCTGGACTTGCACCGAGTTTGGGGTTTATACAGGGTTTAGGGTTTAGGGTTTAGGGTTTAGGGTTTAGGGTTCAGGGTTTAGAGTTTAGGGTTCAGGGTTCAGGGTTTAGGGTTTAGGGTTTCGGGGTTTAGGGTTTAGGGTTTAGGGTTTAGGGTTTAGGGTTTCGGGTTTTTGGTTTAGGGTTGAAACTAAACGGCAGCAAGGAGGGTGGGGGGGGGGAAGACACCGGCCCACCTGAAATGGGCCTGGATTTTTCGCCCTCAACCCTGAATTCTCTAGACCCAGGAGTAACCTAGGAATACAAAGGGTTTAGGGTTTAGGGTTTAGGGTTTAGGGTTTATAAGGTTGAGGGTTTAGGGTTTAGGGTTTAGGGCGACCCAGGAGTAACCTAGGAACAAAAAGGGCGCCCTTCTTGGCTTTAAGGGGCCTACAAGGGAACCCCATCCAAAAAAAGAAAGGACATGATGGCCTGCTCCAAGTCCCAGGGATTCTAGTACCCTTAATGGGGATTTTATTACCCTTAATAGGGATTACAGCATCGATAATCGGGGGTCTAGTACCCTAAACCCTAAACCCTAAACCCTAAACCCTAAACCCCAAACCCCCAAACCCCAAACCCTAAACCCATGCCTAGTAAGCATTGTTCTCTAGATGGCACCCTGCGCCGAAGGGCTCCCGGCCGAGCTAAAATCCTGCGTCATGCACGGGTTCAGGGCTTAAGGGTTTAGGGCTGAGGGTGGGTTTAGGGTTTAGGGATTCGGGTTTAGGAACCCTAAACCCTAAACCCTACACCCAAAACCCTAAACCCAAGACGGTTCCCGGGTTAGGGCGGTGAAACGCGGAAATGCTGCAATTCAGGGTGCAGGCGGCAGTCCGTCGTACTTGACACTGCGCAGGTTAAAGCCTATGCCCTAAACCCTAAATCAGCCCTTAACCCCCAACCAAAGACGCCAGAGCATAAATCAAAAGGTTTAGAGTTAAGGGCTTTAGGACTTAAACCCTGAACCCTGAACCCTAAACCCTAAACTCTAAACCCTCAACCCTCAACCCTCAACCCTCAACCCTCAACCCTCAACCCTCAACCCTAAACCCTAAACCCTAAACCCTAAACCCATCCCACGAAGTTCAAAACCTGGCGCCAAATTCCCAGACTGCCAGCCATGCACCTGAGCAAGAAGGAGTTCAATCCTGATGCGCACTTCCCTCTTGCTGGTTTATAGTTCTCCCAGTGCAGAGCAAGGGAACCCTAAACCCTAAACCCTCAACCCTCAACCCTCAACCCTAAACCCTAAACCCTAAACCCTGAACTACCAGTACAAAAGGCAAGCTCAGAAGGAAGAATTGTCCAGCCCTTCAACCCTAAACCCTGAAGATCTCTGTGACTCCCATACCAGTATAAAAGGCAAGCTCAGAAGGAAGAATTGTCTAGCCCCTCGACTCCATACCCTAAACCCTAAACCCTAAACCCTAAACCCTAAACCCTAAACCCTAAACCCTAAACCCTAAACCCTGAACCCTGAACCCTGAACCCTAAACCCTAAAGATGCCTTATCCCTAGGAAGCACCTTCCCGGTTTAGGGGTTTAGGGGTTTAGGGGTTTAGGGGTTTAGGGGTTTAGGGGTTTAGGGGTTTAGGGGTTTAGGGGTTTAGGGGTTTAGGGGTTTAGGGGTTTAGGGGTGTAGGGGTTTTGGGGTTTCGGGGTTTAGGGGTTTAGGGGTTTAGGGGTTTAGGGGTTTAGGGGTTTAGGGTTTAGGGTTTAGGGGTATAGCTTGCTAAGCTTGCGAGCACCAGGGTCGCTTGTGAAACACGTGCAGCCACGCAGCCGGGAACAGCTGCATGGCATTCCGATAGCGCATGCAGGGATTCTCGCAACTTCTTCTGGCGGGAGAAGGCAAGGGCATGAAGGGCTTTAGGGCCTCTAGGGCTATTAGTCTTCTTGTTCCACTATTAGCGTATCATTGTAGTAGCACATTAATATACATATATATATATGTGTATATATGTATACGTTCCCTTATTAACTACTGCTGGGACCTGTTTGGGCTGAGAAGGTTCGAGAATCCAATGCCTCCCTCCCTTTGCAAGGCCAGCGGGCTTTTTTTCTTCCTCTGGTGTCTCAACGGGGGGCTCAAAACATAGGGTGTAGGGCTTAGGGTTAAGGGTTTAGGGTTCAGCATTTCGGGGCGAAAAGTTGTGGAGCTCTGCTGGCCAGCTCTTAAACACGTGAGGGGTGGGCAAGTTCATGCAACGAGCCTGTGCGCTCAAAGCATGGTATAGATGTCACGCAAGTCATTCACTCTCTGCTTCCTTCCCTTCGCGATTGGCCCCCGGAACGCCACCTTCGCGATCGGCCCGCGAAACGGCACCTTCTCACCGAAACACCTGTCAACGGCGACTTGATCGAGGCTTCCCAACAAAAAACGAGGGGATGTGAGGTTCAGGTTTTCAGTGCTCAAGGACTGGAGGTCTGGAGGTTGAGACTTAGCCCTAAAGCCCTACAACTCTAAACCCTGCAGCCTCAGCAACCCGAAGCCCTCAAACCCCTATCCCCTAAACCCGCCCGCCACCCCACTGTCTTGTGTTTTGGGGTAGACTGGCGTGAGACCCTGCGAGGGAGCCCCAGGCGGGCGACCGAGCTGGCCTCCAGGCTGGCTTACCCTCCAGGCAGGCACAGGCCAAGTCAGCAGTTGTCACTGTATATTATATTTCCCTAGTCTTCATGTCCGCGCACATTGTTGGGTCCTGCATTGGAGGCGACCCCTGGGTCCCTGACCCCCGTCCGCTGGGCTGCTGGGCCAGGGCTCTGGCCAAAAAACGCTGGCTGGCCGGGCTCTGTGCCTGGCCTGGCCCTTGGTGTTGGCGCTGGCCTGCCTGCCCTGGCCCCTTGCTAGCTTTGCTGGACAGCACACCCGTTTTGTGCCTGGTCCACGCCTGCCCTGTTTCCACTCACTGCCTGTGTTCCCTGGCCCTGCCTCCCTGGCTTTAGCCCCTTCGCGCCAACCAAGCCTCGCTGCCTTTGTCTGTTCCTGGCCCATCCCTGCCTTAGCCCCTTCGCGCCAACCCAAGCTGTCTTTGCTCACCCTGCCTCGCCTTTCCGTCTGCGCATTGCAAACGCCCCGTACTGGTGTCTTCCTGCCTCTGGCCTTGTCCTGGCCCTGCTGCAGCTTTGTGCCTGGTCCATGCACCTTGTGGAGGTCCCCAATGCTGACTGATGTGGTGCTTTGTAAAAAAAACAAAAGGTCTTAACTCCTTGAGAGTTGTAAGTGGGCGGTCTTGGGGTGGGTAGGTCTGCAGACTACCGCGCGCTCCCAAAGCGCGCTTCCGTTTGGCACGCCCTAAACCCTAAACCCTAAACCCTCAACCCTAAACACTAAACCCTAAACCCTAATTAACCCCTAACCCCTAAACCCTAAACCCTAAACCCTAAACCCTAAACCCTAAACCCTAAACCCTGAGCCTAAACCCAAATCCCTAAACCCTAAACCCTCAAAAGCCAAAAGCATCAACCGTAAGCCCGCAAAAACCTTCGTTTCCGAAAGCCACCCCCGAAGACGACCAGCATTTGGGTCGTGGCAGCCTTGATCCCAGAATGTTCAGAATCATCCGCCTTTTTCTATAAAGAACCCTAAGCCCAAAAAACCCTAAACCCTAAACCCTAAAACCCTAAACCCCGAATACCCTAAACCCCCCCAGCCCAAAACTCGGGGTAGGGGCCGCCTCGCGCGCTTGGCCTCGATGATGCTCACCAAGCTCTCAGGTGACGTCTCAACCTCCTCGCGGTTTCGCCAAAGTTAGGGTTTAGGGTTTAGGGTTTAGGGTTGGAGGGTTTAGGGTTGAGGGTTGGGGGTTTAGGGTTTAGGGTTTGGGGTTTAGGGTTTAGGTTCAGATCCCATAGTGGGCCCGTTCTTTTCGGGACCGGTTCTTTCAAGTCATTGCCCCAAGCTTCTGGAGGGCCAATATGGGCCCCAGAGCTCCCGATCGCCCGCCCCTAGGGTATAGGGTTTAGGGTTTAGGGTTTAGGGTTTTATGGTTTAGGGTTCAGGGTTCAGGGTTTGGGGTTCAGGGTTTAGGGTTTAGGGTTTAGGGTTTAGGGTTTAGGGTTTAGGGTTTAGGGTTTAGGGTTTAGGGTTTAGGGTTTAGGGTTTAGGGTTTAGGGTTTAGGGTTTAGGGGTTTTAGGGTTTAGGGTTTAGGGTTTAGGGTTTAGGGTTTAGGGTTTAGGGTTTAGGGTTTAGGGTTTAGGGTTTAGGGTTTAGGCCCTTAAGACCTGCCTGGGACCTTCTTTGGACGGACTCTACTGGGAGATTCATGGTACTTATTAGCCAATCATAATGGTGCTTATAAACCACTTAGACCTAATGTGGTTATAAGTACAGCTACAAGTACAGATATAATTGGTTAACAAGTACTCCTAACCCTAAACCCTAAACCCTAAACCCTAAACCCTAAACCCTTAAGTACCATGAACCTCCAAGTACACCTTCTGGAACTGGCGTGCCCCAATAGCCCTACACCCAAGCCTGAGCTCTGGCCTTCGAGAAGTCCATGCCCAAGCTCTCAACACAACTGGAACAAAAAGGTTTAGGGTTTAGGGTTTAGGGTTTAGGGTTTAGGGTTTAGGGTTTAGGGTTTAGGGTTTAGGGCTTTGGGGCTTTGGGGCTTTGGGGCTTTGGGGCTTTGGGGCTTTATGGCTTTGGGGCTTTGGGGCTTTGGGGCTTTGGGGCTTTGGGGCTTTGGGGCTTTGGGGCCTTGGGGCCTTGGGGCCTTGGGGCCTTGGGGCCTTGGGGCCTTGGGGCCTTGGGGCCTTGGGGCCTTGGGGCTTTGGGGCTTTGGGGCTTTGGGGCTTTGGGGCTTTGGGGCTTTGGGGCTTTGGGGCTTTGGGGCCTTGGGGCTTTGGGGCTTTGGGGTTTGGGGTTTGGGGTTTGGGGTTTTGGGGTTTGGGGTTTGGGGCTTTGGGCTTGGTGTGTGGAAGTCCTGCAAGAACTTCTCCATCTTATACACCTCAGACGGGGTTTTGGGCTTGAGGGGGTTTTCTTCGGGGTTTTTTGGCCGGGTTTAGAGGGACTTTGCCTGGACTCATGGCCTACACACTACAAGCCCTTTAGGGTTTAAGCTTAGGGTTTAGGGCTTAGGGTTTAGGGTTTAGGGTTTAGGCTGTAGGGTTTAGGGTTTCGGTTGCGGGGCTTTGGGGTGCTTGCGGCCTCCAGGGGGGTTTGGGGCTTGGCTTGGCGGCTCGAGGGTTTGGGGGATTAGGGTTTAGGGTTTAGGGTTTAGGGTTTAGGGCTTAGGGCTTAGGGTTTAGGGTTTAGGGTTTAGGTTTAGGGGACCCTGAAAAACCCCCCCTCTTAACCCCTGTAGAGGGAACCAGGCACATTCTGGTCAAGGAGGTCGTCAAGGAGGTCGCGTCCTGCTGGAGGAAGCTGCAGAGCTTCCTGGCGTGTGAGAGGGGTTTAGGGTTGAGGGTTTAGGGTTCAGGGTTCAGGGTTTAGGGTTCAGAGTTTAGGGTTTAGGGTCTTTAGAGCGTAGGCTAAGGGTTTGCCAGGTTTAGACCCTAAACACCTAGCTCTTAGGGCCTAGACAAGGTTTACAGGGCCTGCCTGAACCCGCTGTTTGTAACATTGCATGCCCCCTTCATGTCCTCTTGCAAGCTTAAGATTTGGCTTCTGAACAAGCTGGATAGGGCCTGGTCTTCCCCCCCCCCCCGAACCCTAAACACTTAAACAAAACTTTTGAGAGGTGAGCCTCTTACTGTTGCGTGAGGTCCCCAAGCTTCAAGCCCACGAACACTAATCCCACCCCCCCGAATATAAAACCACCCCTACCCCCTCATATCAAAATCCCCCCATACACTATTATATAACAAAGTTGGAAGTCTTTAATATTAGGGGATTACTGGCAACAAGCATACGAACAAGAAGTGCACCGAAACTTTTGCGCAGCCTGCTGACAGGGTTTAGGGTTTAGGGTTTAGGGTTTAGGGTTTAGGGTTTAGGGTTTAGGGTTTAGGGTTTAGGGTTTAGGGTTTAGGGTTTAGGGTTTAGGGTTTGGGGCTTAGGGCTTCAGGCTCCAACAAGCCTAGCCCCCCCGCCCCCAGCTCACATACGCTGCGTTCAAAGATTCGGGTATACGGGGTCGGCTCCTGTCCGACAGCTTCTTCTTGGACCCTAAACCCTAAACCCTAAACCCTAAACCCGCTTTCCATATCTGCAGCCCGACAGTTGGGCGTTCGGACTGGATTGGCTTGGCTGCCGACGAGCGAGCGCGCGCGCGCATCCCGTGCGCAACGAGTCTACAAATAAGGGTTCAAGCTTCAGGGCACTTGCGGATGGGTAGATATAAGTATAGATACGTCTCATCAGAACCATACTTGAGACCTGAAGCACTGAAAAACCTAAACCTTAACCTCAGAACCCTAAACCCCAAACTCCCCTCCATGGCCTGAGGATACTTACTTGGCTCTCGAGCTGCGGTTGCAGGTGAGCTTGCCGGCTAGAGGTGTAGGGGGTTTTGGGGGGTCATGAAGATCCTGAAATCCCCAAGCCCTAAACCCTAAACCCTAAACCCTAAACCCCCAAAACTTGCCCAAACGTCGACCCAAAACGGTCTGGGGCCTCAGTCTTTTGCCTCGTGTGGCTCTTCTTCGGCTTCGGCGCCACGTCACCCACGTGGAACTCGGACTCCACCACACTCCTAGTGCAGGGCTGCCCTGGGTTTAGGGTTTAGGTTTAGGGTTTAGGGTTTAGGGTTTAGGGTTTGGGGTTTGGGGTTTTGGGGTTTGGGGTTTGGGGTTTGGGGTTTGGGGTTTGGGGTTTGGGGTTTGGGGTTTGGGGTTTGGGGTTTGGGGTTTACGGCTTGGAGTTTAGGGTTTAGGGTTCAAGGTTTAGGGTTTAGCAACACTTCAGGGTCTAGGGTGTACGGCTCAGGGCTTCGGGTCTAGCGTCTGAAAGGTTTGTAAGGTCTATATATATATATATATATAAGGTTTGTAAGGTTGATACGGTGCATAAGGTTTAGGGTGAAAAGGGCTTACAAGGTTCAAGGTTTATAAGGTTTAGGGTTTACAAGGCTTCGGGGTTAAAAAGATTTCACAAGGTTTAGGGTCTAGGGCTCAGGGAACCCTAATAGCCCCAAACCCCAAACCCTAAACCCTAAAACCTTAAAGCCCAAACCCTAAACCACAACCCCTTAAAGCCCAAACCCTAAACCACAACCCCTTACAGCCTAGACCCTAAACCCTAAAACCCTAAACCCTAAACCCTAAAACCCTAAAACCCTGAACCCTAAACTCACTCTATGAGGCTGGGGTGACCACCGCAGCCTCGTAGATGGCTTCGATGAGATGGTATCGGAATGAAGCCTGGGGCGGGGGGGGACGTCGTGCAAAACGCCCGGGGCGCAGGGCTTAGGGGTTGGGGCTTAGGGTTTAGGGCTTAGGGTTTAGGGTTAAGGGTTTAGAACTCCGGGTCTAAGGTATCGGGCCACCCTAAACTCCCCTGCTCCCTTTTCGGGTCTGCAGGTCCCTCTAAATCCTTTCACTGGTCTACGCCAGGACCCGAACTACAACTACCAGGGCCCGGCCCCTATACTTAAGATAGATTCTGCACAGTCTATACATGCGTGTATACAAACATATATACACACACATATATATGTATACTATATGAGTATATACAAATTAAAATAATAAATAAATACATATATATATATATATATATAAACATATGTATAATATGTATATATATATATATGTGTGTATATATATATGTATAATATGTGTATATATATATATGTATGTATGATATGTATATATATATATGTATATATATATATATATATGGTTATGTATTTATAGGGGGAGAGGCTTGGATACAGTCGCGATCCCAGGAGCATCTCTACCTCGTCGGTCTCCGAATCTGCTTTTGGCGGCTTCTGGAAACCTTGGGCGCGACTGGAAGGATCCGGGGGGGCTTAGGGTTTAGGGTTTAGGGTTTAGGGCTTAGGGCTTAGGGCTTAGGGTTCCAGGGTCTTAGGCGTCTTAGGCGTCTTAGGCGTCTTAGGCGTCTAGGGTTTAGGGTTCTCGGGTTCTAGGGTTCCAGGGTTCCAGGGTTCCAGGGTTCCAGGGTCCCAGGGTTCCAGGGTTCTAGGGTTCTAGGGTTCTAGGGTTCTAGGGGTCTAGGGGTCTAGGGGTCTTAGGGTTTAGGGTTGGGTTTAGGGGTTTGGGGTTATGGATTTCGGGGTTTAGGGGTTAGGAGTTTCGGGGGCTTAGGGGTTTCGGGTTAACTCCTCAAACCGCTTAAAAAAAGGTGTGACCTCAGGAGCTCGCCTCGAAAACCTTACGAACCTCCGAACCTCGGACGTCAGACGTGGGCCTTGGGTATGGCAGCCCATGAGAGGCGTTGGCCACATTCTTAGGGGATTCGGGGGCTGTGTGTGGTTGTATGGGGGGGCTGCATCGAGAGTTCAGGGGTGTTGGGGCTTCGGATGCCGAAACCGCCACCCAAAACCCAAGCCCCCCAAACCTCCACATGATTCCTACCAATTTCGCACTATTTAGTCTCACCCCCATGAATTTTAGTAGGAAGTCTAAGAATCCTGGCAGGTTGCAGTTCACTGTGGCGCCGGTTCCTGAAGTCTCTGTGCTTGCTTGACAGCCCATTGCGACAAAAACGGCCGAAACAGGCGAGCGGGAGGGGGACGAACGTTGGCGTCACCTCTTGTGAGAAGCCACACACACACACACCTTGGACCTGCAGCTGAGGCGTCGCGGGCTTGGGGTAAACCCTAAACCCTAAACCCTAAGCCCTAAGCCCTAAACCATAAACCCTAAACCCTAACCTCGGGGCTTCGGAGCGATCCGAGGAGCTATTGAGGGGACTCAACATCGGACCCCTAAGGGAACCCTTGGGTTTGGGGCCCCCTTGAAAACATCCTTGAAGTTATGCCCTAAACCCTAAACCCTAAACCCTAAACCCTAAACCCTAGACCCTAGACCCTAAACCCTAAAAAGAGAATATAAGGGCCAAGTTAGGAGCCTATTCAAGGGAACCTTTAGGGGCACAACCTTAGGTACCCGAACCCCTAGGAGATCTGCACCACAACCCTACAATTACAATCGCAGAGACCACCAAACCCTTACCAGCACATAACTAGCCTCCACCCTGTGAACCCTATAAACCCTGCAAGCCCTAGAAACCCTACAAACCCCATAAACCCGAAGCTCCGAACCCTAAACCCCAAACCCTAAACCCTAAACCCTAAACCCCAAACCCTAAACCCTAAACTCCAACCTGAAGGGCACCCTGACCCCTAAACCCTAAACCCTAAACCCTAAACCCTAAACCCTAAACCCTGAACCCTGAACCCTAAACCCTAAACCCTAAACCCTAACCCTAAACCTTAAACCCTAAACCCTAAACCCTAAACCCTAAAACCTAAACACGGCACCCTAAACACGGCACCCTGAACCCATCCGCCGAAACTTTGCTCGACCTGCTCGACGTCAAGCGAGGCACCCTTCAAGAAGTCTGCAACCTGCTCAGCAGTTTAGGGTTTAGGGTTTAGGGTTTAGGGTTTAGGGTTTAGGGTTTAGGGTTTAGGGTTTAGGGTTTAGGGTTTAGGGTTTAGGGTTTAGGGTTTAGGGTTTAGGGTTTAGGGTTTAACGCTTAGGGTTTAACGCTTAGGGTTTAGGGTTTCGGGTTTGTTGGCAGGGTCTGTGTGTGCACACGCCTGTTTGTCAAGGATTAATAAATTGCAGGGGGGCAGTGACAGGGTCTGTGGGATCACTGGCAACGAGGACACCCACATTCTCTGGTGAAGCATTGGAAGACGTTCCAGTGCACCTGTAAACTGACGCCCTGAGGCAGCAAGATGAGAAAAAGCTGGGCCCCCTGAGGCAGCAAGACTAGATTTCTGACGCAAAAGTACCTAAAACCAAAACTGACGACTCCTTCGTAAGAGGGTGCGAGCCTGTGTGTGCGAGCGCATGTGTGGAAAGGGGGCGGGGGTTGAGAACCCATCTCGCCAGATTGCAAGACAGAAGCAGGAGCGCAATTTCGCATGCTTTCACGCGTCGCAGCGTTAAAAGACACCGTCCACAGCTCCGGTCACATCTTTACTTTTGCACCGAGAGTTCGAGATAGGGAGGGGTAGGGAAACAGCGCCCTAAGCCAGGAACGCGCACTTTTTATAACCCCCCAAACCTAAACCCTGAACCTCAAACCCTAAACCCAACCCTAAACTCCAAAACCGAAACCCAACCCCAAACTCCAAACCCTAAATCCCAAACCCCAAACCTTAAACCCTAAAGTCCGAACCCTAAACCCTAATGAAACCCTGAACCCTAAACCCCAAACCCTAAACCCGAAACCCCAAACCCTAAACCCTAAACCCTAAACCCTAAACCCTAAACCCTAAACCCTAAACCCTAAACCCTAAACCCTAAACCCTAAACCATGGCCTGAGCTGAAGTCACCGACTCACCGAAGCCCGCGACGAAGCGCTGAGGCCCGGGGAGGCTGGTCGCGCTCAGGGGCACGGCCTCCCGGCGGCTCCGGGGTTTAGGGTTTAGGGTTTAGGGTTTAGGGTTTAGGGTTGAGGGTTTAGGGTTTAGGGTTTAGGGTTTGGGGTTTGGGGTTTGGGGTTTAGGGTTTAGGGTTTAGGGTTTGGGGGTTAAGGTTTTAGGGTTTAGGGTTTAGGGTTTAGGTTTAGGGTTTAGGGTAGAGGGTATAGGGTTCAGAGGAGGGCCCTGCAGTGTGGTAGGGGTCTTGGTTTGAAACTTGAAACTGTACGGTTCCTTGGCCCGAACAACAGAGAGAAGGTTTAGGGTTTACGGGGTTACGGGGTTTAGGGTTCGGGAGTCAGGGTTTAGGGTCCAGGGTCTTAGAGTTGGTTTCGGGTTTAGGGGTTTGGGTGTGGGCCAGCAGCCCCGCCCAACTACCATCAGTAGAGTTACTGCTGAGGGCCTGTAGCTTGGGGGTTTGGGGCTTGTGGGGGATGTGAGATAGGGGGGCTTGGGGGGTGGGGGGGGGGTGGGCCCTAAACCCTAAACCCGAAACTTTAACCGCAAACCCTTGTCGGTTCTCTTTGCGGGAAGCGTGCTTTTCCAGGTGGTCTGGGCTCCAAGCCGGATGCGGGTCTATCCATTCTTTTCTTATGTTTTTGGGGGTTATAGGGTTTAGAAGGTTTATGAGGTTTACACAGCTTACATGGTATATTCGGGGGGTTATAGGGCTCCAAAGCATTACAAGGTCCAGAGAGTTATAGGGTCTAGAGTCTAGGGTCTAGCGTGCTTGCAGGTCACGCGAGGGTAGTGCTGTGGTATCTCTGAGCTCTCCACCTAAAAGGCGCCACAGGGCTCGGGGCTTAGTGCTTAGGGCTTAGGGTTTGGGGTTTAGGGCTTAGGGTTTCCGGTTTAGGGTTTAGGGTTTAGGGTTTCGGGCGCTGTTGGCATAGCCTAACACAGACGGGCCTCGTAGTCACCGATGCCGGCGAAGCGCATGGTCAGCAATGCCACAAGGAGGAAGATCAGAGGCAGCACAATTTGACAACACCAGGCCTGGCAGGGGCTGGAAGTTCAGAAACTCCGAAGCTCAAGGGACGGAAGGGGGGACCCTTATAAGATATATCAGGTATATACGGGTTGAAAATAGGAAGAAGAAAAAAGGGTCCCTTCTAGGGGTCCCTCCTTATACCCCTTGAAAAGCGAGCACCCAAAATATTAAACCCCAAACCCTGCACCCGGCAAACGAGACTAGACCTCCCACCCACACACGCCCCCGTGTCAAAGTCGTCCAAAATCGGAGGCTCTGGGTTACAAAATGAACCCTGCAACGCTCTAGGATTTTAGGGTTTAGGGCCTAGGGCTTAGGGTTTAGGTTTAGGGGACCTAAGCGATTGGGAGGCATAGGGTACATTGCCGGTTGATTTGGTTCTCACCCCGAAACCGCGTTAGGTATCCTAGGCATGTAGGGCAAAAGCAGGAACCTTGGCACAGGTTTTAGGGTTCCGGGTTTGGGGCTTAGGGTCTAAGTGCGGGGACTATACAGAACCCCACGGTCGTCCCACAATGGGAAACACTTGAACCCTAAAAGGGCTTATGGTTCCTAATTATACCCTAAAAGGAATAGAGGACTAGGGTATATCACCTCAATCTTGAATGAACCCTAAACTTTCCCTAAAAGGGTATATGGTTCCTATACCTTGAAAGGAACAAAGTAGTAACTAGGGTTCATTCGGGCTCTAGGGTACGCAGTCTGCAGGCCTTTCGATCCCTCCGCGCATTGTGAAAGCGCTTGACCAGCCTCGGATGAGCAAGCATTGAAGGCTAAGCTCTAAACCCCCACGCCCTAAACCCTAAACCCTAAGCCCTAAAGCCCATAAGCCCTAAGCTCTAAACTCTAAACCCTAAACCCCAAAAGCCCCTAAACCCCTAAACCCTGAGCCCTGAACCCTATGCCCTATAAGCCCTAAACCCTGAACCCTGAGCCCTGAACACGAGCCTGGCGATCCTGGCATTTAGGCGAGAGGCATGGCACGCACGTGCCGTGCGAAGCTCACGGATGACTCGGCCCGCCTCACGGCTTGCTGCCAGGGTTTTGGGAGTTCAAGGAAGACTAACAAGGTCTAGGTTTTAGGATTTAGGGTTAAGGGCTTAGTAGAGGGTCTCTCTCTCTCTCTCTCTGTATATATATATATGCTCGCCCCCCCCCCATGATCCACACATTTGGCCTCGGGAAGGCTGGTTTTGGGAGGGGGGGGACTCCAGACTCCAGATTTCCAGAAAATATTTGGAGTACCCCCAGACTCCAGACTCCAGATTTCCAGAAAAAATCTGGAGTACCTCCAGACTCCAGACTCCAGATTTCCAGAAAAAATCTGGAGTACCAGCAGACTCCAGACTCCAGATTTCCAGAAAAAATCTGGAGTACCGGGACCCTGGACTCCAGATTCTGGAGTCTGTAATCTGGAGTCTGGGGCCGCGGGTACTCCAGATTTTTTCTGGAAATCTGGAGTCTGGAGTCTGGGGCCCCCGGGTACTCCAGATTCTTTCTGGAAATCTGGAGTCTGGAGTCTGGGGCCGCGGGTACTCCAGATTTTTTCTTGAAATCTGGAGTCTGGAGTCCGGGGCCCCGGTACTCCAGATTTTTCTGGAAATCTGGAGTCTGGAGTCTGGGGCCCGGGTACTCCAGATTTTTTCCTGGAAATCTGGAGTCTGGAGTCCGGGGCCCGGGTATTCCAGATTTTTTCTGGAAATCTGGAGTCTGGAGTCCGGGGCCGGGTACTCCAGATTTTTTCTGGAAATCTGGAGTCTGGAGTCCGGGGCCCGGGTACTCCAGAATTCCTTTGGAAATCTGGAGTCTGGAGTCCGGGGCCCGGGTACTCCAGATTTTTTCCTGGAAATCTGGAGTCTGGAGTCCGGGGCCCGGGTACTCCAGATTTTTTCCTGGAAATCTGGAGTCTGGAGTCCGGGGCCCATGTTCTCCATATGCACGTTTAGGGATTACGGTTTAGTGTTTATTGGTTAGTGTTTAGGGTTAGGGTTTAGTGTTTAGGGTCTAGTGTTTAGGTTTTGGTTTACAAGGTTTAGGGTTTACTTATTAGGGTTTAGGGTTAAGCGACTTGGGCAATGTCTACAACACTAAACCTCATAATGATGAAGTTTTAAAACCCCTAAAGGGCTGAAACCCCCATGTTTTTTGTTTGGGGTTTAGGGTTCAGTGTTTAGGGTTTAGGGTTCAGGATGTGTTGTTTCGGGTTTAGGGTTTAGTGTTTTGTGTTTAGGGTTTAGTGTGTAGGTTTCAGGGTTATAGTGTTTTGTGTTTAGGGTTTGAGTGTTAAGTTTAGGGTCTAGGGTTTAGGTTTAGGGATAGGGTCAAGCGGCTTGGCTAAAACCCTAAACCAAATAAAGCCCTAAACTCTAAAATCCAAACAATTAGCATCTGAATCCCCGACGGGTTCTTGGTTTCAGGTTTAGATTTAGTAGGGCTTGAGCTTCCGGCATTGGGGTTTACTGTTTAGGGTTTAAGGTTTGGTGTGTAATGCTTGGGGTTTAGTTTTTAGGGTGTAGTGTTTAGAGTTTATGGTTAAGCGTTTAGGGTTTCGTGTTAAGTGTTTGGGGTTTGTGCTAAGGGCTTCGTGTTAAGTTTTTAAGGGTAAGTGTTTAGGGTCTAGTGATGAGTGTTTAGTGTTTGGTGTTAAGGGTTTCGCGTTTGGTTTCTAGGGTTAAGGGTGTTAAGGATTTTTACAAATTGTAAATGATCTGAGGAAGGCACCGGGGCTTCCCCAGACCATTGACAACTTTAAAAATCCTTATGTTTAGGGTTTGGGGTTTAGTGTTCAGGGTTTAGTGTGTAGGGTTTAGTGTATAATGTTTAGGGTTTAGTGTTTAGGGTGTCGCGTTGGTTTCGTGTTAGGTGTTTGGGGTTTGTGCTAATGGCTTAGTGTTAAGTTTTGTAGGGTTAGTGTTTAGGGTCTGGTGCTGAGTGGTTAGGGTTTAGTGTGAAGGGTTTCGGGTTTGGTTTTTAGGGTTAAGGGTTTCAAGGGTGTTTTTCAAATTTGAATGATCTGGGGAAAGCACCGGGGCCTCCCCAGACCATTCTTCAAAAAAAAAATAAATGGTCTGGAGAGGGCACCGGGGCTTCCCCAGACCATCTGAACTTTTAAAACCCTTAACATCTTATAAAATCATTAAAATTCTGCTTAAACCTTCTCAGGATTTTCAAGGTTTTAAGGCCTTTGAAAAACCTTAAAATGCTTAAGCATTTTAGTGGCTGCCCTTTTAGGAAATTAAGGATTTTTAAAGTTGTCAATGGTCTGGAGAAGCCCCGATGCCTTCCCCAGACTTCCCCAGACCATGTAAGTTTTTACAAACCCTTAAAACCCTGAAATTCTTGCAGCTGTAAATGGCTGTCCTTTTAAAGTTTAAGGATTTGATGTTCAATTCTAAAATCAAGTAACTTCCTGAATTTTGAACGGCTGCCCTTTTACAATGTTAAGGTATTCTAGAATTTTTAGGGATAAAAGCTTTCAGGTTTTTAAAGGCTTTAACGCCTTTTAAATCCTGAAAATTTGGAATGGCTTAAATACCTTCAAGCCCTTAAAATCTTAAAGGGGCTGCCCGTTCAAAAAAATAAAGGATTTTAAGGATTTCAAAAATTTGAAATGGTCTGGGGAAGCCCCGGTGCCTTCCGCAGATCATCTAAATTTTCAAAAAACCCCTAAACCCTCAAAAGCCTTCAAATTCTAAATGGCTGCCCTTCTAAAACTTTATGGAGCCACAAGACACACATTTCAGAAGCAAAATGTACATACAAAAGCACTAGTGTTTTTATAGGGGATCATATAAAAGAGCTTTTTGTATTCCAGTACAGTTTTTACTGCATTTATCCGAGGAAAAAGCAGAAAATCAGACAAAGACGAAGACCGGAAAACCATAGGTCTGGATCATGGGGGGGGGGGGGGGGGTGACCATATATATATATATATATACATATGTGTGTATATATACATATACACCCTACTGTTAGGATTTAGGGTCTAAGGCTTAGGGGTCTATATACTACGAATTCATCGCGGTTCTGCTAGCGGTCCCAATGTTGGACTTCGTCCATTTCATTCAAAGGGCTCCTGAGAAGGCTTGCTAGAGCCCGTAGGAGTTGGTGCTTAGAAGCAGCGGAGCCCAGGAACACGCTGATCAAGTGGGTTTAGGTTGGTGAAAAGGTTTTGTGGGTTCGGATTGGGGGTTTGGGGGTTTCGGGTTTGGGGTCGGGGGCAACGTTCTTGACTCCATGCTGTCGTGATTAGCATCATGATGATCCAGACTAACGATCATGATCCTTACGATTCTCACCAGTCTACCAGTACTAGCATGTCATCACAACCACGCCTATCCGTACTGTTAGTCATATGATGGTTACTGTGGCCACTACTACAGCATCACTCTTGGAACGACGATCTTTCATCGGCATTCTGAAGCAGGGTAGCTGAAGTTCCCGAACCCTCAACCTCAACCCCCAACCCTAATAGCTAACCCTAAACCCTAAACCCCAAAAACCCTAGTAGCTAACCCTGAACCCTAGACCCTGCACCCTAAACACCAAAAACCCTCTTAGCTAACCCTAAACCCTAAACCTCACACCGAAATTTATATACTAATTTTGCCCTTTCCCGTCGTTCGTTCATGCCCCAATATTAAATGTACTCAACGGGCAATGAATAGCGCGCCTTTTAGTATATTTAATATGGGCCCCTTTCACTCTCATTACGGCGCGCGTGAACTTGCCCGTAATTTAATCTTGGACTTCTAAAGATTGAAATTTCATGAACGATTCTGGGGGGAAAACGCCCATTAAAACATAAACAGCTAACCCCAAACCCCGAAAAAACCCAAACCCGAAACCCTAAACCCCGGACCGTAAGCCCTAAACCGCGCACCTCAAACCTAAATACCTAACCCTTAACCTTAAACCATAAACCCTAAACCCTAAACCCCGCAGACCCCGCACCCCATACCTGAATGCCTAACCCTAAACCCTAAACCCAAAACCCAAAACCCTAAATCATAAACCCTAAACCCTAACTGCTGGCCCTAAGCCCTAGCAGCTGACCCAGCCTCGCTTCCGTCAGCGGCTCATCCATCTGCGATCCCCCACTCCTCCGCATCTCCTCGTCAAGCTGCGACTTCGGGGTTCCCGAAACCCTAAACCCTAAACCCTAAACCCTAAACCCCAAACCCCAAACCCCAAACCCTAAATCCTAACCCTAAGCGAGGTTTAGAAGGGGTTGGGGGTGTCTAGGGTTTTGGGGTTTAGGGGTTTTGGGGGCTGAGGGGTGTGGGGTTTAGGGTGTAGGTTTAGGGTTTAGGGTTTCGGGTTTCGGGTTTAGGGTTTCGGGTTTCGGGTTTAGGGTTTCGGGTTTAGGGTTTAGGGTTTTGTGGGGCCTTCTGGCGCATGGTTCGGTTTCAGTGCTTGGGATTTTCTGGTTCAAGAACCCCCAATTAAGCTACAAAGGCAATGATCTCAAAAAGGGGACCCCTTTTGTACCCCTTATGTATATATATATATATATATGTTATACCCTACAGAAACTAAGGGCCCATACGTCAGAACCCTTTAAAGAAGGCAAGGGACCACATTCAGGGCCAGGTAGCTACCCTTAGAAAGGAAGCCATGCTGCATACCATGAGCTCGTATGGTAATTCAATGTCCCTAAACCCTAAACCCTAAACCCTAAACCCTAAACCCTAAACCCTAAATCCAGGTCTTTGAGTTCCAAGGGTTTCTAAGGGGGTTCCTTTCTCGGCTTCCAGCATGAAACTCCTGCAGAAGCACAACATCTTCGTGCAAATGCCTTCGAGCATCCCCACATGTACCTGTGATGCCCGGAATATCCCTAAACCCTAAACCCTAAACCATAAACCCTGCTGAACACTGAACCGCTGCACCAGAACACCCTCATCTACTCTGGAGTGACATCGTGTCTCCTCGACTGCTTGGGTAAAGGAATTCATGGCGCGTTCCTCCTCAGCACATGCTACCGAGGGTGTAAAGTTTAGGGTTTTGGGTTTTGGGTTTTGGGTTTAGGGTTTAGGGTTTTGGGTTTTGGGTTTTGGGTTTTGGGTTTAGAGCTTCACGGCTCAGGGTTGAGTCGTGCTGAAGCCCTCTACTCGTTCATCTCGTCAGTGATGCAGGTATCCCGAACCTAAACACTAAACTCCCTATCAGATATACTAGGGAAGCCCTTTAAACAAACCCTAAACCCTAAACCCTAAACCCTAAACCCTTTACGAGAAGCATATTACAACATCCCGAGGGCCTACCCAGCATCGAGCCTGAACATCTTTGGCAAACTCAGAAGTCCCCGGCAGCCCCAAAGTACAGGGTTTGAAGGGTTGAGGGGTTAGGGCAGTCAGGGTTTCGTGCATGCGGACGAGCGTTTAGGATCTAGAGTTGTTGAGTTTGGGTGAGCCCCTAAACCCTAAACCCCAAACCCCAAACCCCAAACCCCAAACCCCAAACCCTAAACCCTAAACCCTAAACCGCAAACCCTAAACCCTAAACCCCAAACCCTAAACCCCAAACCCTAAACCCCATCCCTCCGGCCAGTCAAATGCGGCCGCAGTGCCCTTTCGGCGGATATCTGTCGCACAAAGCTGGCCTGCAGGCAGCGATTTGGGCGCGCGATTGCTCCGCAGGAGTCTTCATTTCAAGGCCCTCAACCCTAAACCCTCACCTCAACCCTAAATCCTAACCCCTAACACCTATACCACTCCCCCAAAAGGCATATGGGTGGATTCTCAAGCAAATTAGTACTACTTTCTGGCACGGGATACTTAAACGATGTACTGTCGAACGCGTGTTGAGGTTCTACTGCGGGCTCAGTGGCTTGGAGGTGGTAGCTTCGGCCCATTCAACTCATTCAAGGATAGCTTCAGCTGTGCTGTTTCTCGGCTCAAGGGAACCCAAAACAAACCGCAACTAATCCCAAGAATGAACCCTGAAGTCCAAACTCTTGGGTTTGTTTGGGCTTGTTTTGAGGCTTCTTGGACTTCTGAACAGGGGCAGAGAATGAAGGACGCCGGCCTGTTGCAAACGCTCGTCCGCCGCGATGTCGGCCTCTGTATGGTCACGGCCCACGCGGAGGAAAACCTGCTGCCAGCTGTTGATCGGAAAGCTTAAGGGCTCATAGGGCTTTAGCGTCCCTCCCTGACCAAACAAACCCCAAGACGCTGCCCGCCCGACCCTAAGACCCTGAGACCCTAAGAGACCCTGACACCCAAAGACCCTAAAACCCTAAGACCCCAAGAGACCAAGAGACCCTAAGACCCGAGACCCTAAGACCCTAAGACCCTCGGGTTTAGGGCTTGGGGTTTGGGGTTGAGAGTGTAGGGTTTAGGGTTTAGGGTTTAGGGTTTAGGGTTTAGGGTTTAGGGTTTAGGGTTTAGGGTTTAGGGTTTAGGGTTTAGGGTTTAGGGTTTAGGGTTTAGGGCAAGCCCCAAAACGCAGAGAGGGCCCTTCTGGAGCGCTTGGCCTCCTCCAGAGTCGTCACGGACACACCGAAGAGCTGGATGCCGTAGCCTAGCGCGGCAAATGGATCCCTAAACCCTAAACCCTAAACCCTAAACCCGAAACCCCACATAGCCTCTTACAGGGAGTCCATGATAGCACAGCCCTTGCAAAATCCAGACGAACTCCCCCAAATGAACCCTGAAAATGGCTTCTGGCTCAGCCTTGCACAGCCTATGGTAGCTGAGGGCGTTGGTTTAGGGTAGGGGACAGGATTAGGGGAACTTTGGGGATATAGACCCTCTGAATAAGGTCTCTGTTGAAGAGAGCCAGAAGAGGGTCATGAAGTGTTCCCTTCTAGGGGGCCCCCCCCTCCTACCCAGGATTGGGGGTCCATCTACGCAACAGCGGTTCCAGTGGAGGAAGGCAGATGAACCCAAGTTTAGGGTTTCTGTCGTCGCTCAGGATTGCGGTCTTGAACGGCCCAGTAGAGCAGATCTACATGGTTTAGGGGTTAGGGTTTATAGGCTTTCAGCTCTGAACAAAGAATTCGGCGATGAGATTCCCAATTGTGGGGGGGGGGGGGGGGGGACACATCGGATTCCCCGATTCCATACTGAGAACTAACCTCCCTAAACCCTAAACTACCCTAAACCCTAAACCCTGAGCCACTATCCTAAAATCCTAAACCCTAAACCCTCAACCTTCAACCCTATACCCTGGCCGAGGGACGCTCGGGTTGCTGTTCGAGGCTTTGGAAGAGCTCGGGGAAGTTGCCGCTTTCCTGGAGGGGGGGGGGGGGGGTGGGGGTCGGTACAGGGATTAGGGCGGAGGGTAGTTGTAAGTGAGCTGCTGTTTATATGAGCCTCTTATACGCGCTATGAGGTTTGCATATGTAGGCCCCCCATGGGCCTATCATTGCTGAAGGACACTCATGTAGGTTTGCAGAAGCCGCACATAAGACTCCCATGTGGGAAGCCACCCTCCTGAAACCGCCCTTGAAAAACCCTAACCCTAAACCCTAAACCCTAAACCCTAACCCCCATCAATCCACGACGGCCACCCCAGCAGAAGTGCCTCGAAAGGCATGCGGTAGGTCAGCTCAGTGCCTGCAAGCGCCCCATCAACCGAAGATGTCGCAGTAGCTATGCAAAATCCCAGAGTCGTTTCGGGAAGGGTTTAGGATGAGTACGGTCTTCGGCCCTAAACCCCAAACCCCAAACCCCAAACCCCAAACCCCAAACCCTAAACCCTAAACCCTAAACCCTAAACCCTAAACCCTAAACCCTAAACCTAAACCCTAAACCCTAAACCCTAAGCCCTAAACTCGCTAGAGGAACCACTCTTTTCTTCTTGGCACAGTCTTGAGGTTTCCCCGTCAAGGCACGTGAAACAGCCAGGGAGCTTTACCCTGGCATGTTTAAACAGAGTTGGCGGCAGGGTTTTCAGGACCCCTAAAGCCCCGAGGGTCGCAGGCAGTTGGGATTGAGGGTTTGGGGTCTGGGGTTTGGGGTTTTGGGTTTTTTGGGGTTCAGGGTTTGGGGTTTAGGGTTAGGGGAGCTTCTTCTTCAGCAAGAGCGTGAAGCCCTACCAACCTCCACAGCCCCAAGCTCGAAAGACTAACCCCACATGCTCCCTTAGCGCTATCCTCGAAAACCCACCGTTTTACAAAACATGAGCTCTTAAAATCCCTAAACCACCTAAAGCACTTAGAACCCTCGAAAGAAGATGCCCAAATGCCCTTACGAAACAGCTTAAGTCTATGACGATGGAGGCCCTTTAGGGCCCTAAACCCTGCACGTGTGCTTGCAGGTGTCGGTTTCCGAGCGCACGAGGCCAAACGCAGGAATCTGAACCAGAAACTGTGTAGGGGTTGGCCTGGTTTGGGTTTAGGGTTTAAGGATAGGAGGAGGGAGTTTAGCCCCCCTTTACCCCTGCTGCAACTGAAGTCTTAAGCCCGCGAGAGCCTGTGGTAATCAAACATAGTCTCCACAGTCACAACAGGCTCAGCTCCAGTGGCTCGTGGACTAATTACGAATTTCCTCTCACAAGGAACCAGGGACGTGCAAAGGAGGGGGAGGGCGTGGCAGCACCCGTCTTCCCCAAAGAAAGGCCTCAAGAAGCCCCAAGAGCGTGCCTTAGCAAGCCTCAATACGGGAATGTGGCCGCTTGCACGCTCCTCCCTTACCCTAAACCCTAAGCCCTAAGCCCTAAGCCCTAAGCCCTAAACCCTAAACCCTAAACCCTAAACCCTAAACCCTAAACCCTAAACCCTAATCATCCCTGGTTCCTCATCATGATACAGGGACGGCCCATCCTTGGCAACCACAGGAGCTCCAACCACGGTGCCGGTCGAACCGTGGCAATCCAGTCCCATCTGCTTCCTCATAAGATGGTACCTCCTCAGGGTTGGGGTTTAGGGTTTAGGGTTTAGGGTTTAGGGTTTAGGGTTTAGGGTTTAGGGTTTAGGGTTTAGGGTTTAGGGTTTAGGGTTTAGGGTTTAGGGTTTAGGGTTTAGAGTTTAGGGTTTTTAGGGTTTAGGGTTTAGGGATTAGGGTTTAGGGTTTAGGGTTTAGGGTTTAGGGTTTAGGGTTTAGGGTTCAGGGTTTAGGGTTTAGGGTTTAGGGTTTAGGGTTTAGGGTTTAGGGTTAGGGTTTAGGGTTTAGGGTTTCAGGGCTTTGGGCTTGGAATTTCGGGGTTTGGGGCTTGGGGGCTAGGTGGTTGGGGAGACCCGGTACAAACAAATCAAGCTGACCGTTGTGATGTTTGTTGCATAGGGTTTCGGGCCCACACAAGTAGGGATTTAGGGTTTAGGGTTTAGGGTTTAGGGTTTGGGGTTTGGGGTCTAGGGTTTAGGGTTTAGGGTTTGGGGTTTAGGGTTTAGGGTTTAGGGTTTAGGGTTTAGGGTTTAGGACACAAGTAGGGACTTGCAACAGGATTTCCACAGATCCCGGTCCTGATGGAACAGACCACCCCGAAGACGAGGAGCAGCACCCAAAGAGCACGGGTCAGCTCCTTAGTTGCCCTAAACCCTAAACCCTAAACCCTAAACCCTAAACCCTAAACCCTAAACCCTAAACCCTAAACCCTAAACCCTAAAGTGTACTCACTCAGCTACTAAGGCTCTAGGGGGCGCAGGGCGCTCGGGTTGCCTCGAAGGACGTTGGTGGCGTAGAGGGCGGGCAGTACCAGACGTCGAGCTGTTTCCTAGACTCCACGTACAACTTAGAACCTTAATAAGAACAATGATATGGCTTGTCATGCCCTTAAAGGGTTTTAAAGACACATTTTAAAAAATGCTTAGAACCTTAATAAGAAAAATGATATGGCTTGTCATTCCCTTAAAGGGTTTTAAAGACCTATAAACAAAAGGAATTTCCTGAGGGGGGGGGGAGTAGAGTTTCGGTGACGACCTCCCCGCAGATGCCGATCATGAGGGGGTAGTCGAGGCATTTCGGGTTCGAGGTGTGGCACGGCCGCAAAGGGCAAGCTGGGGGCACCTCCGAGACAAACTCTGGGGCTACCTAGACCCTGAACCCTAAACCCCTAAACCCCGAGGCCCCTAAACCCCTAAACCCCTAAACCCCTAAACCCTAAACCCCTAAACCCCTAAACCCCTAAACCCCTAAACCCCTAAACCCCTAAACCCCTAAACCCCTAAACCCCTAAACCCCTAAACCCCTAAACCCCTAAACCGCTTAACCCCTAAACCCCTAACCCCTAACCCCTAAAACCCCAAAACCCCAAAACCCCAAACCCTAAACCCTAAACCTAAACCCTAAAAACCCTAAACCCCTAACCCCTAAACCCCTAAACCCCTAAAACCCTAAAACCCCTAAACCCCTAAACCCCTAAACCCCTAAACCCCTAACCCTAAACCCCTAAACCCCTAACCCCTACACCCCTACACCCTAAACCCTAATTACTAAACCCTAAACCCCTAAACCCTAAACCCTAAACCCTAAACCCAAAACCCTAAACCCTAAACCCCTAAACCCCTAAACCCCGAAACCCCGAAACCCAAGCCTCCGGGACAGACTCTGGGCAGCAGCAGGGCGCGCAACAGCGGGAGGCGAGCATGATGATCCAGAGCACCGCGAGGACCAGGAGGAGGCACATGGTCATAAAGGAAAGGATCAGCATCCTTGGTGGTTTAGGGTTTAGGGTTTAGGGTTTAGGGTTTAGGGTTTAGGGTTTAGGGTTTAGGGTTTAGGGTTTAGGGTTTAGGGTTTAGGGTTTATGGTCATAAAGGACAGGATCAGCATCCAGGGTAGCTCAGCAACCACGTGACTAGAAGGGTACCCTTTTTAGGGGTTGGAAACCCGAAACCCGAAACCCCCAAACCCCTCAACCCCTAAACCCCTAAACCCCTAAAACCCTAAACCCTAAACCCTAAACCCTAAACCCCAAACCCTAAACCCCCAAAACAATGGAAAAAGGGCTACCGCTGAAGTGACCAAGCCTCCCTGCCTCCTCACGAGCCAGGAACTCTGCCAAAGAGGTTAGGATATAGGTGATGCACGCCGCCACGTAGATCCTCTACTGTAGGGTTTAGGGTTTTAGGGTTTAGGGTTTAGGGTTTAGGGTTTAGGGTTTAGGGTTTAGGGTTTAGGGTTTAGGGTTTAGGGTTTAGGGTTTAGGGTTTGGGGTCTGGGGTTTTGGGGTTTTGGGGTTTAGGGGTTTAGGTTTTAGGGATCTTGGGGAACCCTATGCAAAATTATGAACTCTAGCTTCTTCTTCGGAATTATAGTACACAAAAAATTCTGAAATTCTAGCTGTTTCTTCGGAATTACAATGCCCAAAAAATCAACACAAAATATTCCACACAAAATCCCTAAGGATCAACTGGAAGTTGGAGCCCGCGCCCACATTGTTGCAGCAGCGGCAGTCCATGGCGCGTTTCTTGTGGTCCCCTGCAAAGTAAGAGTCCAGTGGACGTGGTCCATACATGCACCCATGTATTCTGGGGAAAGAGCTGCGATTCTACGTAGTATGCACAGAAAGGGCCGTGTATTCGCTGCGATTCTATGTATCTAAACCCTAAGCCCTCAACCTTTACTCCCCTTGAGGTCTTGTCCACACCTATGCCTTGAGACTCCAACTCACGCGGCACGGAGAGCTCTGCGACAGAATCCAAGCCCCTCGAAGGTTCATGCTCTTGCCCCCCGAAACCCCAAGCTCCAAACCCTAAACCTTAAACCCCAAACCCCAAGCCCTAAACCCTAAACCCTAAACCCTAAACACTAAAGCTAAACCCTAAAGCCTAAACCCCAAGCCCTAAACCCGAAACCCTACACAGAGCCTCAGAACCCTGGCGGGCTTGTAACCTCGGCCCCAAGCAATCAGAAAGCCTCAGCCCCCCTAAACCCTGATGCCTGAACCGAAAACGCCCAAAAACATCTTGAAAATGTTTGGATTATATGTATATACATATATACACATGCATATATCCTCCACACCCTGAAAAGACCGAAAGCCCTGAAAACGCTAAAACCCCCAACCCTCAAAAAGCCAAAACACTCACCCCAAAACACACACCCTCAACCCCAAACCCCAAACCTCAAACCCTAAACCCCAAACCCTAAACTCCAAACCCTAAACCCGAAACCCGAAACACTAAACCCTAAACCCTAAACCCCGTAGTGGCCTACGTCGCTCAGGCGCTCCGCGCGCGTGCAGCGGGCGTGGATGAGGGAGTCCAGGGCCCTCGACTGCTCGGCCTCTTTGGGGCGGTTTGGGGTTTGGGGCTTGGGGTTTGGGGTTTGGGGTTTGGGGTTTAGGGTTTAGGGTTTAGGGTTTAGGGTTTAGGGTTTAGGGTTCAGGGTTTAGGGTTTAGGGTTTAGGGTTTAGGGTTTAGGGTTTAGGGTTTAGGGTTTAGGGTTTAGGGCGTTGTGGGCCCCTGACTCTCTGAGTATGGAGCCGTTGGCTGGGGAGTCTTGGCAATGGTGAGGGTGTAGCCGACCCCGTACCTGCAAGGAGAAACGGCACTGGGGGTTTAGGGTTTAGGGTTTAAGGTTTAGGGTTTAGGGTTTAGGGTTTAGGGTTTAGGGTTTAGGGTTTAGGGTTTAGGGTTTAGGGTTTAGGGTTTAGGGTTTAGGGTTTAGGGCTCTTGGTTTAGATTTTAGGGTTTAAGATTTAGGGCTCAGCGTTTCGGGTTCAGGGTTTGAGGTTTGAGGATTCAGGTCTAGGGCTTTTGGTGCTTCGGGCCTATGTTCTGGGAGTGGCAGAAAAGCCAAGGATCATGTGAATGTTCCAAAATTTGGGGGGGGGGGGGGGGGTCCCTTCATACCACCCTAAACCCTAAACCCTAAACCCTAAACCCTAAACTCCCAAACCTGAAACTCTGAAACCCTAAACCCTTGAACCCAATATTTCCTAAACCCTCAGCAGGAAGCCCGCTCCAAAACAGGAACCCGGCAGTGTGTGGAACGCACCCCAAGAACCCCTGAAGCCCTAGACCCCCGAGCACCCCGAAGCCCTAGAACTCTTAGAACGCGCAAAATCTTAAACCCTAAACCCTAAACCCTGAACCCTAAACCCTAAACCCTCAACCCTTAAAAAAAAAAAAAAACTCGAACCCCTAGAACCTTACAGCCCAAAACTCCCCCTCTGACAGCGCGAGTCGCTGGGACTTCAAGAACAGCGCGGAGCCCACGCACTTGACCTTGCCCGCCTTGGCGACATGCTTACACTCCCTGAGCCCTGAACTGTCTATAGGGTTTAGGGTTTAGGGTTTAGAGTTTAGGGTTTAGGGTCTAGGGATTAGGGTTTAGGGTTTAGGGCTTAGGGCTTAGGGCTTAGGGTTTAAACCCTAAACCCTACAAAAGCCGCCACAAGCAGTATAAGTATGCCCTGTAAGCCCCATGCGCCCTGCAAAGCCTCTAAACCCTATAAAAGCCCGATAAGTGCCTTAAACCCTTCAGTCAGAGTTCAGGCACAAAAACCAAACCACACTTGGAGGTTCATGGCACAAACTAGCCAATTATAGCTGTACTTATAACCCACTTCTAAGCCCCTAGTATGGTTATAAGCGCACGTATATATAAGTACCCTAAACCCAACCCTAAACCCTACACCCTACAAGTACACTTATAAGCACAGTTATCCTTGGTTCATAAGTACCATGAACCTCCAAGCATACAGGAACTTCTTCAACTTCACCCAGGGTTTGGGCTCTTTAGGGTCTACAGTCTGTAGGGTCGAACATCGAGCGGCTGGGACTGAGGGTGGCCTTTCGGAACACTAAAGGCTTGCACTGGGCTTAGGGTTTAGGGTGTCGGATTACGAGCATTGCCCAGAACAGATCCACAAGGGCAGCCTACGCAGCATTTGGAGCAACAAAGTCAGGAGACTTGATGTGATGAGGTGCCAGATGCTGTGCTACGTGCGGACGCAGAGAGGGCTTGTGAACCCTAAGCAAGCCCTAAACCCCAAATCCCTAAAACCCAAAACGCTGAACCCCAAATCCTAAACCCTAAACCCGCCCAAAACCCTAAATCCCAAACCCCAAACCCCTACACCCCAAGCCCCGACACTCCAAGCCCCGAAACCCTTTTAGCCTGCCACCCTACTAGCCGAGACCGGAACGGCCATGATGGCAATGCGATCCCCGAGCGTCTCCGCCTCGCACCAGCTGAAGTGACTCAACTTGGGCGATGTTTGGGGTTTGGGGAACCTCTACACCCTTAAGGGCCGAGAGTGTATGGGGTTTAGGATTTAGGGTTTAGGGCTATGTAATCTAAACCCTCAACCCTAAACCCTGAACTTTAGGGTTCGATGGAAACCATGAGCCCTCAAAGCTGAGCCCTGCTTTCTGCCAGCCTCGTCCATGAAATGTGTCGTCCTGAGTAGCAAGACACTCATCTCTCCGGTTTAGGGTTTAGGGTTTAGGGTTTAGGGTTTAGGGTTTAGGGTTTAGGGTTTAGGGTTTAGGGTCTAGGGTTTAGGGCAAGCGTTTTCGTTTGTCATGCCACCGGAGTCTTCCTCTGTAGGGGGATCTTTCTTTACCCACCAGAGAGCAAGTAGCCCTAAACCGCAAACCCTAGGTTTTAGTAAACCCTCTGAAACCTATGTATACTCAATGGCTACTGGATTCGTGGTTTTCCACCATCAACTCGCGGACAAGCACCAACAATTCGCAGGCAAGCACCAACAATTCCCGGACAAAAACCAACAATTGCTCCAATCATCTCAGCTTTAAATGCCTATGCTTGAAACGAGCGGACACAAGAAAAAAACACCTAATTTTGTTAACCTCAGTTTCTTGCCACTGCATCGCTTGCTTGCGCTGCCGTAGCCTTGACATGAAAGGACACAACAAAAAACGCCCCAAATTTTGCTAACCTCATGGCCTTGAACTTGGTTGAGAGGAGCCGAGCTGTTACGAAACTTATCTGGGCCTTTGTTGGGTGGGGGCTTGGCTGAGAGGGCTGCAGGAGCCGATCGGCTCCGTGTGTTTTTTGGCCCGGTTTGCTTTTTCGGGCTTGGTTGAGAGGACTGGAGGACTCCCACCCTCGAACAGCCTTGCCGTGAACCACGAACGATTGGCCTTGAACCACGAAGTCATTGAAACTTAAATTAACGACAAATCGTGTGGGTGGGTTTATGGCACTGGAACAGTAAAGTAAAATCTGCTCCTAATGTTCTGGGATCCAATGAGTGGTTGGGTAGATATTCAAAACCGAAGTCGCGAGCTGAACTAGTGAATGCTCGAACTTGAGATGCTGAACCCCAAGCCCTAAACCCTAAACCCTGATCCCTAAATCCTAAACCCTAACCCCTAGACCCTAAACCCCAAACCTTTCACAGCCCAACCCCCAAGAAGTGGGAAACCAGGAACCGGTAAACCCAATAGCATCCTTGGCGGAGGCTGAGCCTGACTGACTGATTGCTTGGGCCAAGGGTTTAGGGTTTAGGGTTTGGGGTTTGGGGTTTAGGGTGTGGGGTTTGGGGTTTAGGGTTTAGGGTTTAGGGCTTGGGGTTTGGGGTTTAGGGTTTTTAGGGTTCCCCCAAGATGTCCAGCCTCGCGGAAGAAGGATGCAAAAACCAAACGGCACGATGCTTAGGCTTCAGGGTTTAGGAGTTCCTGTTTAGAAGCCCTAAACCCTAAACCCTAAATCCTAAACTCTAAACCCTAAACCCTAAACCCTAAACCCTAAACCCTAAACCCTAAACCCTAAACCCTAAACCCTAAACCCTAAACCCTAAACCCTAAACCCTAAGCCAGCTCAGACCAGCATCAGAATCAGCGTGCGCCCCTCCTTCTTCTGCCGCAGGCAGTCCTGCACGAGGGATGTGCAACAGAGAAGGCGGGTTTCTGAAGCCTGAAAATCCCTAAACCCTCAATCCTAAACTAGCGCCCCCCCCCTGTGATCGTCGGGCTCTTTCACCAGGGGCTGGGACTCAGTCCCAGGAATCCATTCTCTCAAAGTCCACCCGCTCAGGGTGTAGGGTTTAGGGTGGAGGGTTCAGGGTTCAGGGTTTAGGGCTTAAGGTCACAAACAAAAAAATCCACCGCATGCACGCGAAGAGGACCCTGTTTCGGTTCCAAGCCTGCCCTGTCGCACCTTCATAGAGGAACCGAAGCCTGTAAAATCCCCAAACCCCGTCCAAACCATCCTAAACCCTAAACCCTAAACCCTAACCCTAAACCCTAAACCCCAACCTAAACCCTAAACCCTAAACCCTAGAACCCTATACCGCCATAACCCTAAACCTTAAGCCCTGCACGCCCATTTTGTCCAAGCCGTCTGTCGCACGGGCGACATCCCAAGCCCCCCAGCGCTCACATGGGTAGGTTTGAGCAGTATAGGGCTTAGGCTTTATAGGGTTTATTCAGGGTTTATGTAGGGTTTGTATAGGGTTTTAGGTCCTAAAGGGTGTATGTAGGATTTATTCAGTAGGGTTTATGTAGGGTTTATAGGATTCATAGGGTTCATAGGCCTTATAGGGTCAGAGGGTGTTTAGGGTTCAGGTGCCAGTAAGAACTACAGTTGCTCTGTTGCTGCCTCAAAAGACATCACCGCACTCCCAAAGCATCAAGCCCTAAACCCTAAACCCTAAACCCTAAACCCTGAACCCTGAACCCTGAACCCTGAATCCTAAACCCTAAACCCAAAACCCTGAACCCTAAGCCCTGAACCCTAAACCCTAAACCCTAAACCCTAAACCCTAAACCCTAAACTTTACACCCTAAACCCTAAACCCTAAACCCTAAACCCTAAACCCTAAACCCTAAACCCTAAACCCTAGCTTCAACGCCACAGGAATCCCGAGATCCAGGCTGCCAGGCTTTGTGGCAGCTCAGACTGAGGGGCTTCGCTAGGTCCCAGAGACGTCCAGGAATCAAAAGGGTTTAGGGTTTAGGGTTTAGGGTTTAGGGTTTAGGGTTTAGGGTTGAGGGTTTAGGGTTTAGGGTTTAGGGTTCAGAGTCCTTCTACAACACTCCTTGCTGGCGGCACATCTTCGTCAGAAGCCCTTGTGAGGGGTGGCCAGCCTCTCGTGGAGTTAAGCAGAAAGGGTTTAGGGTTTGGGGTTTAAAGCAGAAAGGGTTTAGGGTTTGGGGTTTAGGGCTTGGGGTTTAGGGTTTGGAGCTTGGGGTTCAGGGTTTGGGCCTCCAGAATTCGGGTTGAAAAGGCTTCCAGAAACCCTGAAGCTCCAAGAACCCTAGCTTGACGGCTCGAAAGCCCTAAGCCCTAAGCCCTAAACCCTAAACCCTAAAAAGCTAAGGACGCACATCCGGAACGCCTGCGTCACTAAAGCGCGGAGCTTCCACAAACCCCACTTAGGGCCGGGATGAGAGGGGGGGGGGGTCTTAGAGCTTTCCGAGTTTATGGGTTCCGTAAACCCTAAACCCCAAACCCCTAACCCGAAACCCGAAACCCTAAACCCTAAACCCTAAACCCTAAACTTTTTGGTATGCATTTTAGGGATACAAGGGCATCAAGGTGCGACAAAGGACCTCAGCACCATCGGCCAGCAGGTCCTTTGGAGATCCTGTGCGTTGCAGAGAGTCAGAGCTTGGGATGCTTTCCTCGTATGCTAACAGCCCTAAACCCTAAACCCTAAACCCTAAACCCTAAACCCTAAACCCTAAACCCTAAACCCTAAACACCCCTAAAACCCTTGATACTCCCTATGAAGGACTGCTAGTAAAAGGGGGAACATCCCAAGGGACGACCTCCATGAAAGGGTGCTTGCCTTCTGGGCTTCTGCCTTGTTTTGGCTCGGTTCAGGGTTCAGGGTTCAGAGTTCAGGGTTCAGGGTTCAGAGTTCAGGGTTCAGGGTTCAGGGTTCAGGGTTTAGGGTTTAGGGTTTAGGGTTTAGGGTTTAGGGTTTAGGGTTTCGGGTTTCGGGTTTAGGGTTTCGGGTTTCGGGTGTAGGGTTTCTAGGGCATCTCAGGTATGGGGAGCGACCTATGTGTGTTGGCGCCTCCCGAAGAAACAGCCTGGTTAGGCCTTGGGATGTTCGCCCCTTATACGAACAGCAATTTATCGGGACGATAGTAGGGTACTAATGGGGACTGTCAGTATCAGGGGACCATCCCAAGCTAGGCCTTCCATAGGCCTGTGCTGAATTCCACCCAAACAAGACGAAGCCCGAAACCCCGACACCCGAAAACCCCCTAAATCCCAGAAGCTCCGAGACCGCAAGTCCCTCCCTACCTTTGGAGTAGACCCTGGAAAAAAAGTATATACTTTTAGGTATAAGTAGCTATAATAGGAATCCAGAACCAAAAAAAGTATTAAAGTACAGTACTCCAAAACCCAGCCTCTGAAACTCTTAGACTCTCTGAAGCCCTCTTAAGCCCTCTTAACTCTGAGACCACGTACCAAGTCCGAATCCCAGGGAGCCACAAGCCCTTCAATCGAGTGCATCTGTTTCCAGCACCTTTCTGGGGCCAAAACCCGAAATCCCTACACCCTAAACCCTAAAACTCTAAACCCTGAACCCTAAACCCTCAGTGAACCTGAAGATCCTAAACGTCCAAAACCCACGGCCTCAAAAAGCAAGGGCTCAGGCAAGAGGGCCGACGATCCGAGTTTTGCTGACGGGTTTAAGGGCTCAGATTTAGCGTTTACAGGGTGGGGCCCCCTAGTTATAAGTAGACTTATAAGGGCCCCTAAATTGGGTTATAAGGACCCTAAGTTAGGTTATAAGTCCCTTAACTACAGTTAGTATAGTAAGGGGGCCCCACCCTGTAGGGTTCAGGATTTAGGGTTTACTGGAACTAAATGAGTACCAAAGTCACAGCAGAGGTTCCCTAAGTTGAGTAGACTCTAGGGGAACTTTCTGAACCCTAGACCATACGCTTCACACCCTACAAACCCCTGTCGCACACATGTACAAACCTGTAAACCCCTCTTAGGGGTAGTTACACGGCCCATACCTCAGAACCCTTTAAGGAAGGTAAGGGACCATATTCAGGGAACATATATCATATAACTTCCCTCAGAGCCCCTTATCCCCTTGTACCCTAAGCCCCTATGCCCCTATGCCCCTGAACCCTAAACCCTAAACCCTAAACCCCAAACCCCAAACCCCAAACCCTAAACCCTCACCCCGGCTCCTTCTTCCACTACGCGCCCCTCTTCGAAGACGAAGACATTGTCGAACCTGGGATTTGTGCTCGAAGCGAGTATGTCAGGTTCTTCGGGTTTTGGGGATCTTTGGGCCTTCTTGGGAGTTTAGGGTTTAGGGTTTAGGGTTTAGGGTTTAGGCTTTAGGGTTTAGGGCTTTGGGTTTAGGGTTTAGTAAGGGCCCTTAAACTGGACCCGATCGTTCCTCCAAGCAGGCAAGGGAAGGGGGGGGAAAGGGGGGGGGAAAGGGGGGGGGGGGGATTAAGAAGCCCTAAGCCTAAGCCCTAAGCCCTAAACCCTGTTGGGCTTAAGCTGGTTTATAAGAGACCCCTCTGCCTACAAAAAAGGGGAATGAAAGGTACGACTTGGCATCCTTGACCCTAATAAGCCCCCTAGCCGTTTACTGCCCGAAGAGAAGGGCATTACTGGGCAATCTTTCAAACGTGAACCTAAGTCCTAAACCCTGAACCCTACGCGCACCCTAAACCCTAAACCCTAAACCCTAAACCCTAAACCCTAAACCCTAAACCCTAAACCCTAAACCCTAAACCCTAAACCCTAAACCCTAAACCCCCTAAACCCTAAACCCAGTTGGCGTCCCGAAGTCTTCCGTCCCATCCCCTGAGAACGCGGCTCATGCACGTAGTGGAGACGATGGCAAACCACGACCAGCGTCCAGTCCTTCGGGGGTTGAATTTATTGTTTACAGGGTTTATAAAGTTCATAGGGTTTAGGGTTTAGGGCTAGGGTTTAGGGTTTAGGGTTTAGGGCTGGGGTTTAGGGCTAAGGGGGAAGGCTCAGGAGTGGCCGAAACCGAATCTCCAAACCTCCTGACACAAGTCTGCAAGCTCCCAAGCCGCACCAGAAACGTCCCATCATACAGAGGGCTTGGGGTTTAGGGTTCGGGGTTTAGGGTTTAGGGTTTCGGGTTTAGGGTTTAGGGTTTAGGGGTCTAGGATTTAGGGGTTCATGCCGGGGTAGGTGCCTAGGGAGGCGTAGGGAAGCTTAGGGAGCCTTCGGGAGTAGTGGGGAGTATAGTTAGGGAACCTGGAGTTACGTACCCCCCTTGAACCCCCCCTCCCAAAGGACCCCCATACATCCGGCAAGAGGAAGACGAACGCGCGAAGGGCCCTCAACGAGAAGAGGTAGAAAAAGAGAAAAGAAGCCTAAACCCTAAACTATAAACCCCATAAATCCTGTAAACCCTGTACACCCTATAAACCCTCAACAAGAGTATAAACCCTATAAATCCTCAACAGGAGTCAAAACAAAAAGAAGAAGAAGAAGGAGGACCAACACCCAAGTCGCAGCTCACGCCCGTCCTTGTCAAGGCCATGCAGCAGCGTGTCGTGGATGTGCCGATCCTTGAAACAAAGAATGTCTGCAGAGAAAGGGATATACCCTTGAAACCCCTAAACTTCTCAACCCTTAAACAACCCTTGAATCCCCTAAACCCCTAAAAAACCTTAAACAACCCTAAACCCTAAACCCTAAAACCTAAACCCTAAACCCTAAACCCCAAACCCTCACCCTTAAGCCCCAAAACCCCAAAACCTCAGAGCCCTGGTCCACCTCAAGCAACCCTTGAAGCCTTAAACCACCAAAAAACCCTGAAGCCCTTAAAACCAAAAGCCCTAAACCCGCCCTTAGAAACTCCGAAAGATCCCCTAACGAGACCTAAAAAAAACCCTAAAAGCCATCAGGACCCGAAAAAACTCCTAAAAAGCCCCCAAGAGCACCACTACAAAACCCCAAAAAAACCATAAGAACCCCAAAAAGCCCCTAAAAACCACAAACCAACAAAATGACAAGAAAACAAAATACAACCCTAAATTTCATGGTTTTCACCTCAAGGCTCCGTCGCAAGATCGCAAGCCGCTGTCGGCTCGTCACAGAGGAGCAGTGGGGGCCCAAGAGGGGGCTCCTCATCTTCCCTGGCTGTGTTTAGGGTTTAGGGTTTAGGGTTTAGGGTTTAGGGTTTAGGGTTTAGGGTTTAGGGTTTAGGGTTTAGGGTTTAGGGTTTAGGGTTTAGGGTTTAGGGTTTAGGGTTTAGGGTTTAGGGTTTAGGGTTTAGGGTTTAGAGCTTAGGGTTTGGGGTTTGGGGTTTGGGGTTTAGGGCTTTCGGGGCTTTCGGGGATGTAAGGGGGTTTAAGGGATTAGCGTTTAGGGCAGTTCAGGTTGGGATCTAGGGCTTGGAATCTGGGGTTTGGGGTTTTAGGGCTTGGGGTTTGGTGTTGAGGGTTGAGGGTTCAGGGTCTGGGGGTCAGCATTCTCATACGCGCGCCGATCATGCGTGTTACCAGGAAAGGCTGGCAGACTGCTCTTTTAGGGGGTTTGGGGGGGCTTGAGTTTAGTCGAGGGGGTGCCTAACCGCCTAAAGCCTAAACCCTAAACCCTACGCCATAAACCCTAAGCCCCAAACTCTTTGGCCAGGCGACGTCCGCTCCATCAGAACCCGTGCGAGGCACAGCAGCTGTCCTTGGAATGTGGAGTCTGCAGGGTTTAGGGGTTTAGGCTTTTAGGGGTATGGGGTTTGGGGTTTCGGGTTTAGGGTTTAGGGCTTGGGGTTGAGGGCTTGGTTTTTTGGGGGTTCAGAGGGGTTCAGAGGGGTTTGGGGGTTCAGGGGTTTAGAAGATTAGGGGTTCGGGGGTTTGGGTGTTTAGGGTTTTAGGGGTTTAGGGGTTTGGGATTTAGGGCTTTAGGGGTTTAGGGGTCTAGGGGTTTAGGGGTTTAGGGGTTTGGGTTTCAGGGTTTCGGGTTACTGAAGGGTTCAGGGCTTAGGGCTTAGGGCTTAGGAGTGTGGGGTTCAGGGTTCAGGGTTTACTGGGGATGTACGGAGGTCCCCGCAACAAGAACTACCATGCAACACTTGAACAGAGGCGCCTTCTGTTACGATTCCATTTGTGAGGATGATCTTCGCGGAACTTGTGAAACTGTTGCACAGAAACCCTACACCCTAAACCATAAACCCTAAATCCCAGACCATAAACCATAAACCCTTGACAATAAACCCTCAACCCTCAGGGTTTTGGATGTAGGGTTTAGGCTTTCGGGTTAGGGTTCAGAGTTTCACCCAGCCCCCGATATGGTAAACCCCGGTAAACGGTTTAGGGTTTAGGGTTTAGGGATTAGGCTTTGGGGTTTAGGGTTTAGGGTTTAGGGTTTAGGGTTTAGGGTTTAGGGTTTAGGGTTTAGGGTTTAGGGGTTAGGGTTTAGGGTTTAGGGCTGAACCTACAAGTACTTTCCTTCAACGAGCATTTCTGCCAAGCAACTCTCTCCTTGGCTGAAGTTTAAGCCGTTCTCTTCCACCTTAGGGTTCAAGGTTCAGGGATCAGGGTTTCAGGTTCAGGGTTCAGGGTTCAGGGTTTAGGGTTTAGGGTTTAGGGTTTAGGGTTTCGGGTTTAGGGTTTAGGGTTTAGGATTTAAGGTTTAGGGTTTAGGGTTTAGGGTCCTTACAGAGCACAGCTCTTGGCCCACATTCACGGGACAAAAGGAGGGACCCTTATAAGGGACCTTATTTAGGGCATATTCAGTAGGGGCTACTTAGGTATATGGTAGATATAGGGGAATAAGATGAAGGGTCCCTTCCAGTGGTCCCTCCTTTTACCCCTTAAGACTTGGCCTACATTCACTTGCTTGGGCATATCTCTTCACTCCCTAAGTCGTATGAAACCCTAAGCCCCGAAACCCTAAACCCCAAAATCCTGCAAAGAGCCATGTATAAACCCTAAACCCTAAGCTCCCTGGTAGACTCCCCTAAACCCTGAACCCTAAATCCTAAATCCTAAACCCCAAACCCTAAACCCTGTAAACCCTAAACCCTATTAGGGTTGAGGGTTTACAGGGTTTACAGGGTTTACAACATTTAGGGTTTAGTAAACCCTAAATCCTGTAAAACCCTGCAAACCGGAAGCATCCGGGGTCAGAGCCGCTGCATCCAGCCCCTGTGCCAGGCCCGCCACGCGGCCTTCTAGTCGGGCCTGGCACAATTGGGGGGGGGGGGGGGGGGGGGGGGGGGGGGGGGGGGGGGGGGGGGGGGGGGGGGGGGGGGGGGGGGGGGGGAGGCGGGGAGGGTTTAGGGCACCCTTCTGGAGGGGGGTTTTCTGTGATCAGGATGCTTGTCTCTCCTTTTTGGGTGGGGAGGGGGTTTTTTCGGGGTACCCTACGTGGGGCAAAACAGCAGGCGAGGAGATTGCTCATCACATCATGATCCAGCTTCTGATATCGGACCAAACCGACCCTGCCTCGACATGACGAGCCCCTCCCCACCTGAAACCCCTAAACCCTGAACCCTATAAACCCTCGACCCGACCTGAGCTTTCGGTGACTGCGGACAAAGAGCAAAGAGCACGTCTGCAATTCAATAACCAGGAAACCTTCACACGAACCCCTAGCTCCGAACCCCCAAGTCATGAGGGACCCCTAGAAGGGACCCTAACACTTATTCTCCTGGATAACCCGTATGTATGCCATATATAGCCCCGATATACCCAAGTAGCCCCTGAAAAACCCCTAATAAGGCCCTTACCAGGGTCCCTCCTTTAGAAAATCCCAAACCCAGACCCCTGAATCCTAACCACAAGTCCGTCAACCCCGAGCTCGAAAACCATTGAAAATCCTGAGTCCCTATGACCTAAGCCCGAAAGCCACAAGCCTGAAACCCAAAGACAAACAGCCGAAACGCCCCTTGGCACCCTAAACCCTAGACACTAAACCCTAAACCCGACCCCCTTCACTCTAAACCCTAAACCCTAAACCCTACCTTGCGGAGGCATTGCCAAAGGGCCTGGCACGGATGGGGCTGATGGCTGCTAGGCTTTAGGGGTTTGGGGATTTTTGGTTTGGGTGGTTTAGGGTTCAGGGTTCAGGGTTCAGGGTTCAGGGTTCAGCGTTCAGGGTTCAGGGTTCAGGGTTCAGGGTTCAGGGTTCAGGGTTCAGGGTTCAGGGTTCAGGGTTCAGGGTTTAGGGTTTAGGGTTTAGGGTTTAGGGTTTAGGGTTTAAGGTTTAGGGGCTTTGGGGTGTAAGGGTTTAATTGCTTTGGACGGCTTAGGGTTTGAGGGATTCAGGGTGTGGGGCTGGGGGTTTCGGATCTCGGGTTGAGGGCTCAGGCGTTCGCATGCTCAAGATTGAGGCCGCCTTACGAAGGCGTGGGTGTCTAGGGCTTTGTGTGTGAGAGAGAGGTTATTTAGGGGTTTAGGATGTAGGATTCAGGGTTTAGGGCTTAGAGTTTAGGGTTTAGGGTTTAGGCGAGAGAGAAAGAGAGAGAGAGTGAGAGAGAGAGACTTTTGACTTTGAAATCGCAGCACTCTGTCGAGTACCTAGCGCGGAAAGGGAGACAGACCCGATGAAGAGTCCGGCCCAGTTGGCTGTACTGTGACATCTCCGTACTCGCATTAAAATGCCCGCAGTACGTCCCAAACCCTGCCCCGTAGCGACACTACCAGCAGGCAGGGACGACTTTGCAGCATACTCCACCTACCCTAGCAAAGCTGAAGACAAAGAACATAACAGTTCTGCTCCAAAACTCTCAACTGCTTTGAGATAGCTAACTAGTCTCGCCTGCCACAGAGCCGGACAAGTGCTACAGTGAATATCAGTGCGTGTGATCGACTGGTGACAGTGCGGGCACGGCGAGAGCACCCGTCCAAATCTCCTACAATCAGCAGCAGCCGGTTTGGCCCATGCGGCGTAAATGTCTGGGTGCACGTGCTTATAGTGAAGTTTGATGCTTTTTATACTGACCAGCCATTGCCCACATTGGGCACAGCCCTCACGTAAGATCTGAGCTGCCGAGGGAATTCGGAAGATCTCAAGCCATTGACTCATGGGGGCGTCGCGGAGCTGTGGCCAGTCTGCGAGAGGAATCCAAGCCTGAGGAGCAGAAAGAGTGGATGACTCCATCGGGACAGGAGGGACGGGGGGAGGATCGTCCTGAGGAGGGGAGACATCTTGAGACTGTTGGGTCCGCAGCCACAGCACTGGACAGTGTCTGTAGCGGTGGTGGCGCTTGAAATTATTCCACGACACCAGATCCGCTTGACAATGCGCACAGACCGGCATCCCTCCCACACTATGTTCCCGAAAACCCGTTTCCGAGGATACCGGCAGGGTGTGAGCATCATGGGCATCTTGCAAATGACGCTTCAAGGCAGCCAATTCTGCGAAGCACAGGTCGCAATGCCAGCAGTGGAAGAGAGCTTCCTTAAGCCCGCCCGAGCTGTGTACCAGCTGACCCCACGGAGCTCCCTCTCGAGATCGTGGCGGAGAGGGCAGCACCTGATCGACGAGCTCGCCTTGAACAGCCTCAGTTTGGGCCCGAAGCGAACTTGAGAGTCGGGTCAGGGCTTCATTTACCACTCGGAGTCGACCTAGAACCCTGGGATGAGAGACCTGCGGGTCTTTGGTACTCCAGCTAGATTCGACTAGAGTTTGGTTCCTCTGCCGGATCGCCTCCAGGGGCTACCAGCGATTGCCCGAAGGTGTCTGACCAGAGCAACGGTCAGCCTGCGGAGATGCTTGGGCCAAAGGCCAACAACGTGCAGGCCATACACGGCTGAGGAGAAGACGCACGCCCGCCACAGCTGAACTCTACGCCGCAAGCTAACCGATCGGGAGTGAAGGATACGGAGAATACGAGAGCGATTTGCTTCTGCGCAGGACAGGCGATGTGTCAGCGTGGCGCCCTCAAAGTCGCCATAACTGAGAACTACCCCCAGGTACTTGATGGAGGACACAATTGGCAGATGGTGTGGCTTCCCGTTGGGGGTCGGGATAAGAAGGACTCTGCCATCGGGGGTGTCCAAGGTGTCTCGACGTATCCAAAGGCGCGCTTGCCTTCCCCTAAGCGCGAGGACCACTTTGGTCTTCTGTGGCTGGACTTGCAGTCCGAGCGCTTCCAGCAGCTGAAAGCTCTGACTGACAGCCTGCATGAGCAGATCCAGGTCCTTTCTGGTGTACACCTCCCAGGTTTCCAGGAGATCGTCCGCATACATAGTGACAAGGTCGGTGACCCATTGGGTGCCGCATTTCTCCGCGAGGGCACGCAGTAAGGCAACGGTGATGAGCGACCATAAAGATGGAGCTAAAGCGCAGCCTTGCCTAACACCCCGTGTGCTGTGAACCGCGCGGCGGGGATCCTTGGGCACAGGGTGATAGGAGATGGCCGTGTGCATGCGCATAATGAAGTCAACGTCCTCAGGGTGGACTCCTGCGCTGCACAGCTCCGATTTAAGGACCTGCCTATCGACCGTGTCGAAGGCCTTGGAGCAGTCAACACTAACCATAACTCCCCCATAACATTGGCCCTGTGGGCCACTGCCGGCCCTGCGCTGTTTCAGGGTCACTCTTCCGGAAGCAAGACGATCCCGAACTGCCACACAGTGGGCCGTTACTCTGGCGATGGCGTGCTCAATGCATCGACCACCGAGATAAGCAAATTGCGGCCACGGAGCCAACGCCTCCCGAAGAGTGGGCTGGAGTTGGGAGGTGAACGCCTTGGTGACCGCCTTCCCCCCGAAATCCGTCAGGGATATGGGGCGTTGCTCCGCTGGGGTGGTACCCGTCTTCCCCTGCTTAGGCAACCAAGTCAGCCAGGAGTCGGCCCAAAGCGGGGGGAAAACAGCCGCTGGAGGCCTGGCCCGCAAGTAGAGCCGATGGAGGTGAGGGCAGATCAGCAGAGCAGGATGGGAGCCAGATGACGGGGAACGCGCGGAGAAAGACCGGAGAGCCTGGAGGACGTGCTCCAGGGTTAGGGACACGGGCGGCGCAGTGTTTTCAGCTGGCGGTGCCAGCGGTGGGAGCTCTTCCCGCGCAGAGAGAGCAGGAGCATACACCGTACGACAGTATGCCTCATATGCATCTGCTTCAGCTGCAGAGGAGAGCAACTCGCCTTCCGGACCCCGAAGCTGGGTCCGCATCCGCGGTTGTTTGGGCATGAACGTTCGAACGACCGCAAAAAGAGCGGAGCGGTCCCCTTGTTGTTCTGCCTGAGCCGCAGCGGAGATGCGGTCGTCCATCACTTGCCGCCTCGCCTTACGACTGGTCTTTCGCAGCGCCCTGCGCAGGGCAAGATATCTCGCAGCCGAGCACCAGCCCTGCCAGACACTGCGCAGCATTCTGACGCGGGCAGTGAAGTGTAGTCGCACCACCACATCCCAAATATTTGACAGGCTCAGAGGAAGCACTGAAAGACCAGTCGACCAAGAAACCTCGAGAGCACGACGCCGTGCCTCCCACATTGCTCCCACGAAGCCGCGCACCTGTGGAAGATGCGAGAGAGGAGGGCGAGGCTCTTCGACCATCAGAGGTGTCGCCGCTTCTTGAAGACAGTCGTTAAGCTCCTGCGGCGTTTCAGCGTTCGGCAACGCAAGCGCCAGTTTTTCGCGGAAGGCTCGAATGGCTTCAGGAGTTTGGGCAAGGCTAAGCTTTGCCTGTTTCGGCACACTGGGAGTGGCCGGCGCAGTGGCATACCAACAGGCAGGAAACGACCCATAGACCGGGTGGTGCAGAGGACCGTACCGCCACTTCAAGACAGGACAGTTGTGGTCCGACTCAGCGCCACGAGCCATATCATCAACCTGATGTGCATGGCCAATCAGAAAGTCAATTTGAGTGAACGTTTCTCCATTCTGAAAGGTACAGGCACGTAAGCCACTCTTCCAAGTGTTGATTGCTTGCAGGGAGTGAGTCTGCAACAGACTCTGAAAGAGTGGCTGGTCGGGAGGGGGCGCTCTGGCAGATTTAGTGCCTGGGCCGAACGCTTGACCATCCATACGGCCGCCGACATTGAAATCCCCGCCCAACACCAACACGTTTCGCCGCGGAACTCCTCCGAGAAGTTTGTCCAGCTGTACCCAGAGACGCTCCCTTCGTTGCAGAAGCGAGGCAGTATCCCCGTTGTGACTCCAGCAGTGCTGATACAAACATACTACGTCCACCGGCTTTGTTCCCAGAGAGGCCCGCACGTGAAGGAGGTGGCCCGGAACTATGGGCGCCCACCGCACTCTCGAGGGTGTGAATCGTTGCTTAGATAGTAAGATCGCACACCCCTGATGACGATGGCCAGCAGTACCCGAATGGATCACAATGTAGCGAGGGAGAAAGAACATATTGCTGTGTGACCAATGTGTTTCTTGCAGGAGGATGATGTCCTGAGTGCATTGGTCATGTATCCAGATCTGCACTTCGTCCCACGCGTCTTGCGAGAGACCGCCCGCATTGAGCGTAAGCACGGTAAGTCGGGGGCCATGCTTCGCATAGGGGGAGCGGGAGGGAGCAGCAGTTGAAGAACCTGGCAGACCCTTGGAGGTGAACACAGCTCCCGGACGGCCACCCAGTTCCTGTAAAGTACGACAACGGCCGCGATACATGGTGGTACCATGAAGTTGCGCTCGACGCAGAGCCCTCTGGAAGGCTCGTTTTGCAGTTTTGAAGGTAGGGGGAAGCCAGCAAGTCAGGAACATTCCTACCTCTAGGCTTCGGGACAGCCTTGTTAACAGAGAGACCTGGAGCACCAGCCCCTCCGGGTGGCGGGGAGGTACCCTGACCACCAACCCTCACACCACTAGACACCACCAAGGTCGAGAAAATCACGAGAAGAAACACATAGGTGTGTCTAGCCCCGGACTTGGGACCGGGACGGCTCGACGTGCGTTGGCACATTGCATAACTGACACAGCTGAAGTTAACTTTGAGAAAGTGCTTGAACATGAGAGCGAGCAACCAAGGCCAGAGCCACCATGCCTGATTCCGCGAAAACAGTCCACGTACCTGACAGAGGCTTGAGGAACTTACGAGTGTGACTCGCAGCTTTAACCGAAGCAACTGCCTACAGCACATCTCGTAAAATGCCACTGAAGCTGATGTGTCTGAGTCAGGCGTGAGAAAGTGACGACACCCTGGCCGCAGTGGCTCTGCAGCTGCGCCTCGGTCCCCTTGGGGGGCCGTCAGCTCACTCGGGCGCGGAAAAAACTGGGCAAAGGCTAGTTCCCTATTTGCCAAGGAGTCCCACCAGTGAAGCTTCCTATACAGGCCTGTCGGAATACCTTCGTGGCGAGAGTGGGTCAGGTTGAGCAGCGCACAGAAGTCCTGCTTCCACTCATATCGGGAGGCATCGAGACCCACATCAGGAGGTGGAAGTTGGAGAGGCTCATGAGGGAGCGTCGCACCACATTCCCGGCCAAACCACGCCTCTGTCGCGTCTCCCACAGCTTCCGGCTGGTCTCCTGGGAAAAAGACGTGGACCTCGGGAAGCAGACAGGTCGCCGCAGCACCCACGCACCAGTTGCCCACGCGCGGCACACCCGAGGTGGCCGGAGAGTTGTGAAAGGCTGAGTGGTACTTGCGGTAGTTGCCTTTGGCCAAGAAGGCCCGATACCGCTCAGCATGCCCGGCAGCTTTAAGACGATGGGAAATCTCTCTGACAGAGTCGAAGATACCCCAGATTCGAACACATTCGGATTCTGTGGCTGTAAAAGCAACCGCGGGTATCAGGACTGGCGCCGGCACTGACCTGTGTCTTTTTGGCGGCGGCGGGGGCGGCGGCGGCACCGTCTGCGTCGAGCAGTCAACCCTGGACGGCGTCGCCTGGGCCCATCCGTCGACCCTCTGGGGGGACGCAGTGGAATGTTGCTGTTCTGTGGCGCCTCCAGAGACATCCTTGGTGAGAGGCTGTTGGGGGGGTCCTGGCAAAGGTGTGGGCGTGGAAGACACCGAAGCCTGCGCGTTTGAAGCGCCCTGGTCGGCTGTGTGAGTGGGGCAGCACGTGATGGCAGCTTTGGCACCATGCCCAGACTGTTGCACAGGTGACGGAGCCATCGGAGGCACCTGCTGGGAAGTCTGAACTCCGGCTCCCAGGAAAGGGGCCGCTTGCGTCATCTTGGGGTAAAAAGCTGGTGCGTTGGCAGACATGGCAGATACCACTGGGGCTTGCTTGCCAGAAGATGCCTCCACCCGCTGCTGCGTAGCCGGCGGCACAGTTACAGTTGAAGACGCTGCAGCTACTGCAGCGGGCTCGGCTGCAGCGGTCCCCTGAGTGGGGGCCGCCTTCTCAGCAGCTCTGGTCGCCCGCTTGGCCAGCTCCCCCGCCGAGCGGCGCCGAGTCCCATCCTCCGAATAGCGGTTTCGGGGTCCCCCGTGGGGCCTCCAGTAGTTACCTCTATCTTGGTCCATCTGCGCAAGTCGGCGGGCATGCAGGCATGAAACGGCTGCTCCGCAACTACCTAGCAGTCTAACTTGCAAGCCCTGCACAGACGGGAGGGCGCACCTCACCCTGGCCCTGGTGAGTCGATGCCACCTCCAACGGAAAGGAGCTGGCACGTATCCGAACTTCCACACCCCACTCAGGTATAGCCTGCCGTTTGCTCCGTGCCGAGCCCACGACCTATGACGGTACCCAGACGGGCGCCGAGAGCAGGAAGCAGCCTGGGCAGCAAATGAGTAAAGCTGCACTGACAGACAAGATGAGGTGTCACTGCATGCACTGGTTGGCGCATGTGTCCCTTGCTGGATGCTTTTGCAGCGGATGACGCGCTGGATATGCTCAGGCGATAGCATCTGGCGTCAGCAGGTAGCCATTGCGTGAACGGAAGAGCGTGAGGCCGGCTGCCAGGAGAATTTCGGGGTTCATGACCAGCACCACCTCCGAGTCTGCTCTAACCCCATCCATGCTCGTGGCCATGTGGATGTGGGCCCGGTCCCCGCGGGGGCCGCCTGCCTGGAGACCGCTGTTCATGATCTCCGCCAGCCGATCACGGCGTGTCCCGTGAAAGGCAGTGAGACCCACCACTGAGCGAGCCGTCAGAGTCTCATACATACGGGTATCATCCAGCCTGGCCTGGACTTGTCGATTGTGGCCCTGCACTGCTCTTATTCGGGGTCCAGAGGGGTACTGGATCTCTTCAAACCTGCCCTTCCTGTCGGTGTCGACCACATAAAGAACTTCACCTTCGGTAACGCCGAGCTGGCGCAAGTCCCTTACCTGGACCAGCGTGCGCAGATCACAGGTGCCGTCACCCAGGATGGGGACGCGGAGACGGACGGCGTCGTGGCGCAGGATGCAACTATAAGTATCCCACTGATACGGCGCCGACGCTCGCCATAAACCGGAGTTCGCGGCGCCTCCCGAGGACATCTTGTCGCCAAGGGAGCCATCCCGGACGAAGACGAAGAGGGCCGTGACCGACTGTCTCTCGACGAGGGGCCCGGTACCCTGTCGGCGCGCCGCAGCTCGTGACCTTGGCCACCACTTGGCGGTGGGTGGAGATCGGGAACCTTCAGAGGATCCTCTTCAACGTCCTCCACGTCAACAACCTCTACAACCTCTACGGCCTCTGGGTCTGCTCTGGCACACTTCCTGCTGGGCGGCGGTGGAGAAGGAGGCCTTCTTCTTGAAGCATGAGCGAGAGGAGGAGGAGGGGTCACCGCTGCTCTTTGTTCCTGCCTCTCAGCTCTTGCCTCTAGTTCTCCCTGTGTTCTGCGCCTGGTTCCGTCGGGCCTCACCCTCGCTCGGTGTCCTTTACGCTTGTGCCATGGCGGCATCCCAAAGGGGCCGTGGGTCTGCAAATTAGGGGCTGCACAGTTAGACGGAAGTGTCTGTCTGCGTTGCTCAACTGGGGTCTGCCGGGCCGTGAGGGCGGGTGAAAAAGCGTGAACTTGAGACCTGCCTCTGCATGTATACACATCAATCCCCATTGCCCTCGGCGAGAGCCGCAGCCAGTCTCACTGCTCCCTGCAGGACGCTGAAGACCAGCACACAAGAAGAAGAACCATGCACAGTCTGCCTTTCCGGTGTGCTGTAGCCGCCGGGAGCCCGGCCGAACGAAGTCGAGTATCCGGCGGCACTCCACCCGGGCCAAGTCCTGACACACGGAGGGCTTGAGAGAGGCTTCTCTTAGGGGAAGCTGCATGCATACCTGTTCTGCGCTGCTCCGGCTCCCCGAGGGGGCCGCGTGGCTTCCCTTTTGAAGCAGTGTAACCCTCATGACTGCCCCCGAAGTACTGGGCTGAGGGAGCTGCAAACCCCAAACTCCAGCCCAAGAGAAGCGTTCTTTCCTCAATGCGGAGTCAGTCCATGGCATGAAGACCAATTCAGCTTCCTGAGCATCAATCGTGCCCCTGCTGCTCCTGTTTGTTAGCCGCCTCCACCATCTCGTCCGCAAAGGGAGTGTTGCTTCGGCTCCCAGAATATGGGGCCGTCGGTGGCTTGTTGGTGTGCATTGCCAGGACCATGTCAAAAGAAGAAGGGACCAGACTCGCCGGCATGTACGCACCATGGGAGAGTTTACTACACACTGTATCAGCTGGAGCCGTGGTGCTTAGAGAGAGAGAGAGAGAGAGAGAGAGAGAGAGAGAGGGAGAGAGAGAGAGAGAGAAGGAGGGAGAGAGCTCGAGAGAGCTCGAGAGAGCTCCAGGCGTTGGCAGCTCGGGGCTTCTGAGCTTTGGCCCTAACCTCTAGACCGTAAACCCTAAACCCCAAACCCCAAACCCTAAACCCCAAACCCCAAACCCTAAACCCTAAACCCTAAACCCTTGAGTGGCTCTTCGACCACCGCTTCCCAGGGGCGGGAGGATCCTTAAGGGGGGGGCAAGTCGCCAGAAATCGAGGGGCCTGAACAATTGGAACAGGGTTTTGGGGGTTGTAGTACAAATATGTAGGGACCCTCAACCCTAAACCCTAAACCCTAAACCTTTAAGGGAAGACTACCTGTACTTATTCCGACCCCTGCAGTAGGCAAAGACCCCCATGCGCACGCCTCCTCTTCAGCAAGAGGGCTGGCCTGGCAAGTGCTCTTTGAGGTGTTGAGTTTGGGGTTTTGGGGATTGGGGGTGTAGCGGCTTCGGGGCTTTGGGGGTTAGGGTCTAGAGTTCAGGGTTAGAGGTTTGGGGTTTTGGGGCTCAGGGGCGTAGGGGTTTATGGTTTAGGTTTGAGGGTTTTAATGTTTAGGGTTTTCGGGCCACGCGGAGTTCGGAACGCACATGTGAAGCCTCAGAGCTCACTCGTGGCATGCTCTTAGGGTTTAGGGTTTAGGGTTTGGGGTTTGGGGTTTGGGGTTTGGGGTTTCGGGTTTAGGGTTTAGGGTTTAGGGTTTAGGGTTTAGGGTTTGGGTTTCGGGGTTAGCACAAACAACCCTGGCCAAAGTACGGCTCATGACGTCCAGTGTGCACAGAACGAGCAGTGTAGAGCTCAGAAGCTGTCGCAAGCTTCATTCTTGCAAGAAGAGATTTGGGATTAAGCTCTAAACCCTGAGCCTCTCAAGCCCAGCAACCCTAGCCCCTAAACTCTAAACCGTAAACCTCTCAAACCCTGAAATCAGACAGACCTAACCTGAAGATGCCCATCCTCTCCTCCCTGCACAAGCCCATATGCCGACAAAGTAGGGTTTAGGGCTTAGGGTTTCGGGTAGGGTTTAAGGTCTACAATTCACCCCGGACCTTACCGAGAAAGCTGGAGCCCCGCCTATGAACCCGCCAAGATATACAAAAAAAACATAAACTCCGCCTAGACGCTGAAATCCCTAAACCCTAAACGCCAAACTCCCGAAGCCCTAAATACACCCCCGAAACCCACACACAGACAAACAAACAAACCCTCAACCCTAAACCCCTAAACCCTAAACCCTAAACCCTAAACCCTAAACCCCAAACCGTTAACCAAATTCGCGGGAGGCCTGCACGCCATCCGCTGAAGCTCTGGGAGGTTGGGAGAGCAGATTGGATCCTCTGGCGCTGGGTGGTTTAGGGTTTAGGGTTTAGGGTTTAGGGTTTAGGGTTTAGGGTTGAGGGTTTAGGGTTTAGGGTTTAGGGTTTAGGGTTTAGGGTTTAGGGTTTAGGGTTTCGGGTTTCGGGTTTAGGGTGAGTGAGGGTGGTGGGTGTAGGGTTCCGTTTACAGGGTCCCTTTAAGTGCGACTGTCACTTCAGGTGTCCGCAACTCCTACGCCTGGCCACCAAGAAGGATACTTGGGGCTTAAGGTTCAGTTTGGCCTAGGAGGTTGGGGGTCTGAATCGGACCACCGAAACTGATTAGGGCTTAGGGTTTAGGGGTTTAGGGTTTAGGGGTTTAGGGTTTAGGGTTTGGGGTTTAGGGTTTGGGGTTTAGGGTTTGGGGTTTAGGGTCTTGCACCCCACCCCCCCGCTCCCAAGATTTCGTTCCCCTTCTAGGATCCTCAGTGGTGAGCCTATAGAAACCCCCTCCCCAGCCTGACAACCTCTGGACCGAACAGTAGCCTAGAAGTAAAAAGGGTTTAGGGTTTAGGGTTTAGGGCCGCGCTTTAGGGCTTTAGGGTGTTAGGGTCTTGGGTCTTTCGGGTTTTAGGGTTGTAGAGTTTCGGGTTTTTAGGGTTTTAGGGTCTTAGGGTTTTGGAGTTTAGGATTGTTGGGAAGTTCCTTATAAAGCCCTCTGGAAAAGATTCCAAAAAAAAACTAGTGAAACTGGGCCACCTCACTCAGCCCTCCGCCCCCCCTCCCCCCCTCTCCCTTGAGAATGCTTCGAGAGGCTGATGGTGCCAGCGAAGAAGATCGGATCCTGTTGTCAATCATTGCTGGATATTTTGGGTCAGGTGGGATGCAGAAAATTACCCTGAACCCCTAAACCCTAAACCCCTGAAACCCGAGCCACGCGGATCAGCCCATGCCACTCAGCCTCCCTCCCCACCCCCTACCCACCCTGCGGGCACCTGCAACAGACCCCGGGCTGCTGTTGAACGAAAGGTTTAGGGTTTAGGGGTTATATAGGGGTTCAGGGTTTAGGGTTTAGGGTTTAGGGTTTAGGGTTTTGGGGTTAGGGGTTAGGGGTTTGGGTTTGGGTTTGGGGATAAGGGCCCAGTAGAACCTCGCAACATCAACTAAAATCCATCCCCTCTGTGCAAAAAAACGTAAACACACCTACAACATGAAAGCCGCTCCCCAAAGCCCTCGAACACAAACCTCCCCCTAAACCCTAAACCCTAAACCCGACACCCTGAACCCTAACCCCCTAAACCCTAAACCCTTACACCCCTAAACCCTAAACCCTAAACCCTAAACCCTAAACCCTAAACCCTAAGCCCCTTAACCCTAGGGTCCCCCTCCTGCAAGAGCACCCTCACAGTGGACCGCAGCGCTGGCAAGGA